CTGTTTATCAGAGTTCATGAATAGTGTAGTTCAGATTATATAAAGAACTTACTTCTCTACTCATCTCATAGAAACCTTGAGAACAGCTAGAAATGAATGTTCTTATAAGTCTCTCTGAAAGCAAGAACATATATAATGCCTGCTTTAACAGTATACTGATAATAGTGAATTACTTTATCAAGATAACATACTTTATACTCACTCATAAGAACTTGAAGTCAAAGAATTTAACTCATATCTTCATCTATAATATAATCTGATTACATAAGTTGTCTGCAAACATTGTCTCAGACAGAGAATTAATCTTTATAGAAGAGTTCTGATCTGATCTGATAACTATACTGAAGATCTTATGAGATCTAAGTATAGCTTTTTATTAACAGACAGATGATCAGATAGAATATCTGATGAGTATATTAAAACAGTATCTGCAGTACTTTGTCAATTACAATCAGAATGACTGAGTGTATTGATTACTACTTACAGAGTTTATATACAACAACTCAAAGCATGCTAGTACAGGTAAAACTCTCTTTGAAATGCTCACTGAAACTTATTCACAGATAATCTTAATAAATCTGTGAGAGTACACTATAGAGTGTGATAATATCTGTAAACAGACTGAGAGAATTCAGAAGATTCAGAAGAAAGCTCACAAATTCTTGAGAAAGATCTAAGAGTATCAGAAGAGATACTATGACTTCAAGTATATTATAAAGAGTTTCAAGAAAGATAATAGAGTCTGACTGAGTCTAGAAAATATCATTATATAGAGATCTAGTAAGAAGCTGAATCTCTTACAGATAGAGTCTTATAAGATTATAAAGAAAGTTAGTTTACAGTTCTACAGATTAAAACTGTTATCTGAGTTATAGATATATAATGTTTTTTATATCTCTTTACTCTGTGAATATAAGAAATTCTTAGAAGAGAATTCTGTGACTCATCACTCTGTTTATAAAGTACTAGAGAGTGAAAGAGAATATCAGATTAAAGAAATTATTGACTCAGAGAAGTGAGATTGTAAGCTCTGATTCAAGATTCAGTGATAAGAGTATTCTGATAAGATGAATAAGTTCACTTGAGAATTATTCAGACAGATAAGACATCTGCAGAAGCTGAGACATGACTTTTATATTATAAATTCTGATAAGTCAGAATAATATAGTCTTTGCTAAGAACCTGATTATAATAAAGATATTAACACTGTTATTTATAAACTCTAGTTTATAAGATAATAAGTTTCTACTGAGATGAATAGTCTGCAGTGTATATAAGAGAAGAAGAAAACATGTTCTTATTAAAGTTAAAAAACAAGAAAATAAACAGAGCTATGAATACAATTTAGAGATTAATAAAGAAAAAATAAAGAAAACTCATACTTATATCATTAATATCTGTGATATTTAATTTTCTCACAACTATCAATTTCTTTCTTCAAAGAAGCAGAGAGTATTATATCTGTGATACAGATAATTATTACATTTGATACAAAGATTATCAGAAATGTACAGACTTCAGAGAAGCTGAATATCAGAATATACACAGTTATAACAGAGTCTTAAAGACTGATCATCTATGTATATAATCAGATACTTCTTATAAAGCTGTATCTACTCTCTCAGTTATGCTAAAGTATTCAGCTCAGAAATAATGAAGATATGAAGAGAGAGCTTATCTGTTCAGATTAACTCTCATTACAAATTCATAGTATTCATATTATCTTAATTACTCAGATTTTATAAGTACTCAGAGACTCATCTCTCATTAATAATAAGATTGTGAAAATGCGCTGCAGTGTGAGAATCATTGATAGAAAACCTAGATATATTTATATATATCTGATCAGAGATTGTGCAGACAGAGAGAGAATGATCATAGACCTGTAAAATCACAGAAGACACTGATAACACTAGAAGTTTTACAAGAACTATCAGCTAGAGTCTGTAAGAAATTACTTATAAGAAGACTTATAGTAAAGAGAGAGACTATACTACTTAAAGTTAGAGACTGATCTGAGAGAGATAGAAAGTTAGCTACTGATCTGAAGATCAGATATAATAACAGAGCTGAAGAGAATAAAGACACAGTTATAAGCAGCAGTGTTTCTACTTCATCAACTAGTAAAAAGTGATCAGAGAAGTCATAAAAATGCTTATAAGAAGCTCAGTGATAATCAGATATTATTTATAAAAAGATTGAAATTGAAAAAATTTTTATTCTTGAAAAGTTCTTGAATTAATATACAGATACTGTCAGAAACACTCTCTCTCTATTATCTAAGTAAAAATACTTCACAGATAAATGAGAATACTCACAGTTTATAAAGATAAGAGCTGTTATAAAAAAAGAAAAAAGAAGATGAGATTCTACAGACAGATCTGAGATATTTATACTACTTTAAAGAGATTTACTTACACTATAAGTGATTCTGCAGAATAGTCAGATCACTCTAGTAAATAAAAATAATTATAAATCACAGATCTGAATCTTTCTATATAATTATAAAGAGTGATTATAGACTGCAGATATCTTGATTTTATAATTCTATAGAGTTAATAAAAGAATGAAAAATTCCTTACAATTCTACAGTGTCAAAGAGCAATGATTTATAAGAATGAATAAAAGATTAATTTATGAATATTTCTCTTTAATAAGAGTGATCTTATAGAGAGTAATTCATCTGTGAAATAAATCTGTGTAATGATTATATAAGAATCTTATAAAAATAATTAAGAGTCAACTGAAACTCTTTTATATAAAAGATATAAGATAAATCTGCATGATAGTTAGAGAAGAATCTATAGATTATAAAGAATCTTATAAAATAAGAAACTAAGTGATAGACTCTTTTCTCTTTATAGTAATAAGAGATTTTTTCTCACTGAGATTTTTTATAGATATGAAGAGTTTTTAGTGAGTATCACTGCAGTGCTGAGCTGACTATGAAGTCACTCAGTGAAAGACTTTACAGATAAAGTCTTAGAGAGAAGAAGATATATAAGAAATTTCACTTCTCACAGATTCTTTATCTCTATTTCTATCTCTTATATAATTAATAGAGCTAGCAGCCCTTGACTACACACAACTATATAGACTGAAGTTCATGAATACTATTCACAACTCAGCTTGAATGCTATTATATATTTGATCTCTACATTTATCTTTCTATCATGAACACTTCTAGTAGTTAACAGTACATATTACATCAAGCTGCAAACACCCGAATAATCGCCTGCGAGCACTTATTCTTACATCAAATGCCTCAGAGGCAGTCACTTTTCAGTTCATTGTTAATGTTGGCAATGATCTGTGATCTTGCATCTGCTGTTCTGATGTCTTCTCATTTCTCCGCCTTGAAGGCATGTATTCTTTCATTAAGTCAGGCGTCCCCCTGGATCTTAGATTAACCATGGGTTCAATCACTCAATAAATCATCTAGGCACGCTTGTAATGACGCGTGGAGATGTCAATTGCACATTATTTTCAGCAGTTTTCATTAGCTTAATGAGGGCTTCATAACCTCTTGAAGGATAACATTGTTGTGTTGTGTTGTAATCTAACTACACGAGTTACACTAAATGGATAGGTTGGGGTGGCACGTGACTAGGGTAGGTGTAGTAATCACCAACAGTTATTTACCCCGCTGGTCACAGACTCTCCTCCCCCCAAGTGCGCAATTGAAATTGCAGCGACCCAGATTCCTCCAACCAGCAATAACAGCGAACTCAGGCTCGTTACGCGGTTAATAAATTGGGAATCTCAACGTTGCGCCATTCCTCCTTATAGTCTGGTGTGTATAAGGCCTTGCAATACTCCCAGTATTCTGGGTACCAGCCAGTATGAGCCCAATCAACTAGAGCAAGGACACATGGGCGACCAGCTGATGAAATTAGAATATTATCTCAATACAAGTCTTGATAAGGATCCCGATATCTCTTTTGAATCAGGAAGCCAGCTTTGAGGCAGAGAAGAAAACCAGTCATTGAATGCTTTCACATTCTCAAAAGACCCTGATTGAGGGATGGTTGTGAAGACATATTGATGGATTCTATATTTACCTCAGTGGGCAACTCTGATAGAATTGCGGGATACGTGCATACTGATAAATTGAGTCACCAGCATCTGGCTCAAAAGAAATAATCTCTCATAAATGAACACAATAGTTTTGATAAACTCTCCAATCATACAAGAGTTAGGACTTCTTCAACCACCACAGACGGCTCAAATTTATGTGGGCCGTGGATGTTTGTTGAACTCCTCTGAGAGAAAGGCAGCCTCTGCAGCAGCTGGCAAGCTCTTATGGCCCGTTTTGGTGAAGAAGGAGGAGTTGAGGAAGTCCATCTCTCTGTTTGCGTTGTGTTCAGAGTCGCTGACGGTTGAATTTGTTGTTTACGGGCATCCAAAAAAAGCGAGTGGGATCCAAAGTTCATGAAGTAGTTAACTACTTGTCGGAGGTATTTATTATTATTAGTTACTCAGTCTACGCTGTAGGCTGCCGTATTCTCGGGCGGCTCTGTGCCGCAACTTGATGACAACTTGACTTGTTCTTGGGGGCGAAATTAGTTACTGCGTCTCTCTTATATTTCAATCATCTAATCTTCCATTTCCTAAATAGACATACGTATACTAGATGGAAGTAAGTCGTGGAGAGTTCCCAGTGCGCGTTCATCCTATTGACTGACTTTTCATCAGGTGTTGTCATTATTTGCTGGACCGCAGCCATCGCGCAGAGCACCTGTTGTCGGAGCCCAATGAGCCATCGATATATACACATATACAAAAAAACAGCTATGTCTTCCTGATGGACTTCTCATCATTGAAACTGAATTTTATTACGTTGTGCTGCTGCAAAGAATAGTTAAGCGGCTGGGTCACGAATCTTACGATGTAAACCACGCCCTTCCCTCTCGGGTAAATTCACAGCTGTTTCATATCCAAATGCAGTTTTACGTTCACTGGTTTTTGATTTCTTCTCTTGACTCTTAAGGGATTGCACATACAGTTAGAGGTGAGGGTTTGGTAAATTGATATTAACTAACCAATGGACTAATGTTCCTAACTATATGCCTAACATAACCAGAAAGAATCAAGGAAAAGAACAAAACAAGAAAATCAATAGGAAATGCTCGTACAAAACCCTATTTAATCTTGCTAATTCGGATGCGAAGCGTGCGATATGTGCTAGTATGGCAGCGAATCGAATCTAAAGGGGCCGAAGGCTGAAGTCCAAAGAAGCATGATACAGTAATTATAGCCGTTAAAAGGATGGGACATTTTGGAGACGATCAACAAGGAAAGAAAGAAAACGAACCAGCTCCATCTCATCATTTCTTCCCCGAGAGCCGTTGGCGCATCACCAAAATACTGTAGTAGCCCTGGCAGCTGCTTCCTTGGTCAAAGCTTCGACTGTCTCCGCGATTTCCGAACAAATGCCAACCCAGCTTCAATGGCCATGTCGCTGACTCTGGTGCCTGCATCAAATTCTTGAGACAACGCGTCTTCAAGCAAATGTGCGTGGTATACAGCATAATAACACGACTGTCGATCGACATTCAAAGATTCTTGCGGGAAGGATGCGAGTATCCGTGCGAGTTTCATCGCTTCGCCCAACGATTGACCCTTCGGCACCACCCGACTCGCCAACCCAATATCCAGAGCTTCCTTTGCTGTCACTGGACGCCCTGTTAATATGATATCTAGAGCTCGCCCTAGACCCACGATTTGCGGCAGCCTGACTGTTCCTCCGTCGAGCAGCGGTACCCCTAATTTCCGAGAAGATACTTCGAATATAGCGTCTTCATCTACTACTCTCATGTCTCCCAGTAGACTCAGCTCTAGACCACCAGCAACGGCGTGGCCGGAGATAGCACATATCACTGGTTTTCGAACATGCATTCGAGTTGGTCCGAGCGGTCCCATATTTTCACCACGAACAGGCTCGAAGTACGCCCTGGTGATACTGGAATGATGAGCTATGTTCGGTGCCGGTCCATGCCAATTCGTCAGCTGCGTCAGATCGAAGCCGGAGGAAAATGTGCCTCCATTGCCGTGTAAGACGCAGATCTTCTGAGTTGCGTCGGCTTCGAAGTCGAGGAATGCAGCGTGGAGTTTCTTCGCAGTTGGAATGTCGATGGCATTTCGTTTCTTTGGGCGGTTCATGGCTATGGTCGTTATGCCCTCATTCAGCTTGGTTATCACGATGGCACCAGGCTCCGGGTCTGCGCTCCCTGGCTGGGTGGGAAAGGTCGACATGTCCGTTGGATTGTTCATGGCTTAGAAACTTGACTTTGTTCTTATCTGATGTCACTTCTGCGGGGGATCTTTTAGCCACATTCCCTTGGGAACTTTTCGATATATTGAGGTAGAAGTATGCTGATTTAGCAAAAAGGGGCCAATGTCATATTTTATTTCCGCAGAACCCGTGGAAGCTGAGGCTGATGAAACAAGAAATGACAAAGACTCCTTTGCTTGTCTTCTCTCGTCTTTATCTACCATAATCCGTCCGTCTCACAAACCCACTGTATGCGCATGAGCCAACATCACTGTCAACAGAGGGGGTAGCACGAGAACTTACATAGCTGACGACTTCCCGACAAACCCCTGTTGGAAAACCCGTCCAGATACCCTTTAGCTTCCTCGATATCCGACTGGTGTAAGAAATGTCTTACATCCATGACAGAAATCACGAGAGCCTTACAGTTAACCATTGCATGCACTGTAACGTATTCCACAGGCGAAGCTTTTATGCTGTATTCGAGGCTCTTCCCTACACCTCTACATGTCCCAGACTAAAGACTGATATTTCCCCTCCTTTATAATTGTCTGCTTCCCCTCCCTACGCTGCTCCAGGGAACGCAGTTTGTTTTCATGCCCCCTCTCCGCTATCCTCTTTTTAGGTTTATCAGCTAGGTTTGACATAGAGAGTGACATTGATCGGGAGCATAAGGGTACGAAAATTGGCAGCACGTGGACTATAGATACATGTATGTATGTACATATACACATACAAATAGAATCTAGGTGTGCATTTTTTCCCTCAGCCTCGTCTCAGACTGAACATGCATTTTGCATATGGGTGGATCAGCAAAGGCCATTACTGCCATCACTGCTGCTCATGCAACTCTTCATCGTTTGGATTTGGATTGGAGCTATTGTACCCTCTGTCTCCGAGGATATCATAGTCTCAAGACAATATATATCGAACTATCATTTTTTTTCTGGGGTTCGTTCCTCCGCATAGTTACGACAACTAATCAAGCTAAAGAGCAGGGATATTCAGATCGTTGATTGAAGAAGAGAATTAAAAGATGACTCCTCATTAACAACTTTGTGGGGACTACAGATCTGTATAGATTATATTTTTTACTCTTTTCCCTTCATGTGACGACATTGACAAGGATTTGCTTTTAGGCGTATGCATTAGTTACATCTTACATGCGCAGGTTGACGGCGCTTAGAATAAGATCATCATCGGCATAGACGTTTTGTAAACGTATTTTTGTTCCGCCCAACGGATACGAACTGGAAAAAGGCCGCCCGTAGTTTTCTGGTTCTATTACAGATGCTGCATCCATACGAGAGGACGAGGGAAAAGATCGGAACCCTCGCGCGGTTGCGTCCCAATCAATTGAGTGCGTGTAACTCTCCCATATCGCTGCTCAGTACCCTCCGTAGCTAACCTAGGTAATGCACCAACCGGTATTCTCAAATAATATACATATAAATATGTCTATCAGATTTTTGAAGCTGATAAATAGCACTGGGAAAATAGAACACGAGGGCAAGGTAACCATACAACAGAAAACGTGCTCGGATACTTCAACACACCTCTCACAATGTCACATTCGAAGTCCTATGGGAGATGCGATAGATGTGATTGTGTAACGCATTGGCAAGGGAACACAACATGGAAACAATTGTGGAGGTTGCTACACAGAGTAGGCTCACGGGCCGCTTTTCACAGTGGTATTTAATATCTCGAATAATGTCACAGACTAGCGTTTGGCATAAGGTGACTTTCGGGAGCTGAAGTCTACGACTGAGCCCTTTGTATGTACTTACGTATACTAAATTTTATCTGGAATGAGAGTAGAGCTGCTGGGTACCTTAGTAGTCGGGGCTACATGTATTTCTCAAGCAGTCTTTTTATGTTCCCTAGGCCAGCGGAAACTGAAACGATGGTGTTGCTCCAAGGGAGCAAACCATCCTAGATTTCGTACTGCGGGGCTGCGTTCTACTCGTGTAGGTGTATATCTGGCATTGTAATGTACAGTATCTTCGTAAATTGAAACTAATCACTGATATATCGGGGAAGGGTACCCGGAATCGATGAACCATGGGTCAGGTGGCTGGATATATTTCTCACCTCCCGCCCTATTGCTATCTTTGGTCCTTGAGTGCCCGACAGGCTGACGCCGCATCCAACACCCAGATGGCAATAAAGTCGTGGATCCCCTAACAAAAGAAGGGTGGAGGGGGTTAAACGCTTGTCTTGATATTCGAGTCGCTCTGCCTCGGCCGCTGCTTTCCGCCATATTCCATTCACCATTGGTTTTCCTCATAGAAGTAGACTCCCTTGTCCGCCCCAATCATTCCATGCCGTAGCATCTGGTTTGTTCGTCTAGAATAAGTCGGGTACCCAATGCTTTCCACGCTCAAGTATGATATCATAAAATGTTTCGCTTCAGCAGCAAGGGTAGTCTATTGCCTGTATCCGTCCAAGCAGCCAAAATGAATATTGCATGCGAACCATTTTCCAGTGGCTGTAAGCGATACGAAGTCCATCGGCCTTGATTCCTTGATTCTAGACACGGGACCAAAGCCCGAGTCTGAGTTGACAGCTAGGCTGGTTTTGTGTTCCCATGTTGTTTTGGGGCTGATGCCGGTATATCGAAATTGAGATGAGGTTTATCATGGATATTTTTCGATATGTAGGCCCAGAATAGGGGATAACGAAGAGATCGTCCATGTTGATGGAGGCTTATCAAGGCCTGCCACATGAACCAAACGATATGCCCGTCCAAGCGTTTTGTAGAAACGCAATGCACCGTATTTTGATGTGCTATGATCGCATAATGTTAATAGCCAATTTGAATTGGTAGTAAGATGGAAAAGTCAGCCTGGAATCGAACCAGAGTCGTAGTCGTCATAGTGCATTCACCGACGCCCGGGTCGAATAATAGCTGGTATGACTATTATCCATTAGTCTGATAGTTAAGGAAACGGCGCTCTCATCGGGTGACAGGTTGGAGAGTTTAAAACCCAGCAGGTATTTTCATCGTAGGATTTTGATACGTTGAGAAACGAGGACCATACTTCAAACCGCCCTTTTAGAACCCTGGGCTATGAAAGGGTGTGCCGATGAAAAGTTGGTTACATGAAGCGTTTCAGAGACATTTGAGCCTTTTTCATGGATAATCAATCCCTCATAATCCAACATCACCACGAAAACCGTCATCCTGGAAGTGATTGCTGCGGGCAAGAGTGTTGTTAAGGCACCCGAATGCTATCATTACTTGAGTTGGTGAGCCAACAATGAACAATGTGATCCGACAACATCGAACCGGGTGCCGGGTACAGGGCCCCTGAACCAACATTTCACTTTGCTGATGATGGTGCTCCGTGAGTGGCTTTCGATCGGATAAATATGGCTGACGGTGCGTCTTTCGACAGGAATCGGCTACCGAGCCATAACGTTATAGCAGAACCAAGGACTTAGAGCGCGGATCCTAGGTATCTTCCACTTGCCGGAGAGCGAAAAATGTCACTGGACGGCAATAGGTATGCCAGTACAGATTAAACGAGTAGAAATCGCATATTTGATGTATACAGACTATTCAATATGGTAGTTAGCTTTTCTATTCCCCGTTATCGTGACATTTTAGCATATCCGAGGCTACGCAATACAAACATACGGTTGGTTGCATCCATGGAGTACTACAGCAGGCTTCAGACATGTATTCGCGAAGTCCCGAATTACCCATCAAAATGTTAGTTATCTGCTCAGATCGCTCACATGCTTGCGCCCTCAATGATTTCTCGTTGAACCAAGTCGACTCGATAGTGTGCGCCGATGAAGATGGGATTGGGAACATTCGGTTCCTGAGACCTGTCTGAGGAGTGAATAAAAAGCATTCGTATGGTCTGGAGCTGGTAGGGCTCTTGAAAACTTCCACGACCAAATGAATCTCGACCGCTGCCAAGTGTGCCTTCGGGGTTCGAGGAATAAAAAAAATGGAGGTTGAATCATGCTCCCCCTTGTCATTGCGCAGGTTTCGAAGCGGCCCGGAACGGTGCCTTTTTCTTTCTCCAACTTTTCGGGGCCAGGCATATCTCGTCGCCAATATATTACATCAGGCAGCAAGGCTCGAGAATGACAGCTTGTTATTCACAACTGGACGATGGTTTGTGTGCCGTGGACACTAAGCTTTTTAATTGACGGGTGCCGCCGTCACACATGCCATTGACGTTGCTGAAGAAGCGAAGATTTAACACGAACGGCTTGAAGAAAGATAAGATATTTCGCGCCCTCATGCCGGCCATTGTCCTCCTGCGCTGAAACAAATTGGAAGGATGAATACAATTCGTCAGCTTCTAGCCCATGTCTCTGAATCCAAGCTCAGCACTTCGCTGGTGCCTATCACTAATGCTCTCGACGGGTTTGAAAAGCGAGATTGGATTGTTACTTCTTATCTTTTAACCTACACTGGTAATGTACTGCATTGTCGTACGACAATTCTCCCACCACTTTTAATACTCAAACTAACACCAAGGTGTAGGATTCCTCGTGGTATACGCCAAGTTGGGAGATGTATTCGGCCGGAAAACTATGTTCCTCCTGGCCCTGGCCTTGTTTACTCTCTTCTCGATCCTTTGCGGTGCTACAAATGATGTTGTGGAACTGTAAGTCGAGATCCCCCATACTGCCCTCCCACGAGGCTAACTAGGGTTGAACAGCATTATATTCCGTGCTTTTCAAGGCATGGGAGCCTCTGGCATATACTCCATGATTTTGGCTATAGCGCCAACTTTGGTCCCACAGGAAAAGTTTGGGAAATATCTTGCGGTAATAGCCTCCGTTTTCGCTATTGCTAGTATTTTAGTGCCAATTCTTGGGGATATAATTGGCACGAATTCAGCATGGAGATGGATCTTCCTATTGAAGTATGCGGAAAAGCACTTTGCTCATTGGAGCTGATACAGTTCATATACTTACCACCTCTTCGCTCATAGAGCGCCAGCGGGATGTGTCTGTATCGGGATTGTGACATTATATTTGCCATCATCAATATCGTCCCAGACGGATGTGAAGTTCGCAGATCATTTCCGGGCCAAGGTCTCCAAATCGGCGCTGAAAAGAGTCGATGTTGTTGGCGTGGTGCTACTCCTTGCATCGTCCATTCCGCTCGTTTTTGCCTTGGAGGAGGCTGGCACTCGCTATTCCTGGAGCGACGCTGTCATTATAACCACATTCTCTGTAGGGGGCATTGCGGGTATTTTGTTCGTTTTCTGGGAGTTGTTTCTTGAAAAATCAACCTCATTACAGGAACCCGTGTTCCCACTTAGGCTCCTCAAGAAAAGAGTGGTGGCTGCTATGATGGCGTAAGTCAATCCCTACCCTCCCAGAGTTGCTTCTTAGTATGATGTGGCCAAAACGCTTATCTGTATGCGCATCTAGGACTGCTTTCTTCACCGGTTTCCCATTTGTCGCAATTGTCGTCAATATCCCCCAACGTGCTCAGGCTGTCAGTGGACTCTCCTCAGTAAAGGCAGGACTAGCATTACTCCCTTTACTTCTCACATCCCCGCTTGCCACAGCGGCTTCCGGCATATTCACCTCAAACTTCAAAATCCCTCCTTTTTACCTGATACTTCTAGGATCGGTTCTTCAAGTAATTGGCGTAGGCTTAACATGCGCGCTGCCAACCAAATCGTTTGATGTCTCGCCCCAACAGTACGGATACAAAGCTCTCATGGGACTTGGGTTTGGGCTGAGTTTGACTACCATTTTGACCCTTGCGCCGCTGGTGATAAAGGACCCTGATTTAGGTATTGTGTATTACGACGCCCATGTTAGGAACGATCAACAAACTAATGCAGTATAAATATCAGGGGTGACAATGGGTGCTCTGACTCAAGTGTGTGTTTTAGGTTTTAGGCGGCACTGAACCACTAGCAAAATGGTACGAGCGATTACCCCCGATAATTTTCCCTTCATATAGGCCACTTTTAATCCCATTTGACAATGCAGCTCGACAATCCTCAATAACGATCTCCGACCAAAGTTGGCATCCGTAATCAGCCCCTCTCAACTACGAGCCATCTCAGATTCCCTCGCTTCCATTGACAACTTAACACCCGCCCAACAGTCTGCGGTAAGGTTGGCGTTTGGAGAGGGCTATAATAAGCAGAATATATTCCTAACTGCGTTCTCAGGCGTGTCACTTTTAACATCCATGTTTATAGGGGAGAAGAAACCAAGAAGGGTGGGAGGACAGCAGCAAGCGACTAATTCATCAGAATAGAAGAAATCAAAGCCTTTCATCTATTTACTGGGGCATGTACTGGTCATATCAAGCGATGGAAGTTCAGGGAAACCTGATAATCCGCTTCATAAACCGTTGAACTGACAGAATGTTTATAGAACTATCATGTGCAACAGATCTTTGTCGTGTATCGTGATATTATATATGTTGTAATATGTAAGCCAGCCTATGCATTTACGCGTGTGAAACAATAAAAATAAATCTCCTTAATGAACGCCGCCTTCATAACCGTTGACCGTTTTCAAGCTGTAACTTGCCGAAAATCCAGGATCCACCTTCTTGCCTTGCTTCCTTTTCTACGGAACAAATGGGGAGCGACAAATGCCGACGCAAGTATCAAAGAAGAGGACAGGAACAATGTTAAAAAAGGAAAAAAATAGAAAGAAATAGAAACCACAGAGCAAGACCAATCATGGCCCATTCCGATATATCTGAGAACCACCAGATCTAAACTGAATCGTTTCCCGCCGCTGGAGAATAAGCAACGCCCGATTGAGCGCCTGCTCACTGTAATTTCTTCCATCCACAAATTCTCTCCTGAGGGTAGACAAACTCGTACTCCACCCAATCGGCAGTCGGCGTTTGAGCTCATCCTCGACCCTGCCAACCTCCTCCATTAACTCTTTGCTCCCCTGGCCCTCTCCGTGCGTGACAGCGTCCATAGTCGAGGCGAGGAATAGGCGGATCGCCTCGTCCACGTGCTCTTCCGTTGCGATGGGGGAGAGGGTGAGTTTGGCGAGAGATTCGCTGATGCGGATGATGGCTTCGAGCTGGCGGACGGTGATGGGGATTGAGGAGCGTGCGTTGGCGTCTAGTTCGGCTTTGTGTACTTGCTTGCGGATGGAGACGAAGTGGGAGGAGAGCTTTTCTGCGGCTTCTGGGGAAAGACGTGGGGCACAGCGTCTGCGAGTTGTTTTGTTAATATTGAGAGTTTGTCTGGGCATAGATGATGGTGCCGGCGGTTTATAAATACTTACGATTTACAGTAGCTGATGTATCGCTTCATTTTTTCAACTGGGATCTCAGCTTCGACCTGCTCTTCCACTCCTCTCCCACCCATGTGAATGCCCATAACGTGTCTGGCGATTCTCTCATCACGGCCCTTTTCATGCTCGTCTCTAACGATGAATATCATATCAAACCGGGACAGGATAGTAGTCTGGAAATCGATATTTTCACCAGGAGTTTTCAAGTCATCATATCGTCCGAAGATTGGATTTGCAGCAGCAAGCACAGACGTTCTAGCATTGAGTATAGTGGTAATGCCAGCCTTCGCAATGGAAATAGTCTGCTGTTCCATGGCTTCGTGGATGGCGACTCGATCTTCGTCTCTCATCTTGTCAAATTCATCAATACAGACAACGCCACCATCTGCAAGCACCATCGCACCACCTTCAAGATAGAATTCACGTGTTGTAGTGTCCCGTTGGACGGAGGCTGTAAGACCAGCAGCCGAGGAGCCTTTGCCAGACGTGTAGATTGCAATTGGCGACACCTTTTCCACGAATTTCAACAATTGAGATTTAGCGGTACCAGGATCACCCAGTAGCAGCACATTGATATCCCCTCGAAGCTTCATGCCGTCAGGCAGGATTTTCTTGGATCCACCCATGAGCAGACAGGCAATCGCCTTTTTAATATCTTGGTTTCCATAGATCGACGGAGCAATGCAATCAGCGAAGACTTGATAGAGATCCGGACGTCTGCTCATTTCCAGGAACTCCTGTTCCTCCTCATCAGAAAAGACCGAATTGCCCTTGGCTGTGTGGTCGACATCGGTACTTATCCCAACAGCACGAAGATATGGGTTTCGAATAGCCACTGCACTTTTTGTCGAGTTCTTGCTACCCTTTGCTTGGTAAATTGAAAACACGCCCATGACAGTACACCTCGAACCAGGAACAACGCGATTAGCGAGATATCGATCGGCGGATATAAGGATATGTCGAGGAAGTTCCCCTACAGGCACTTGGTCTGGGGCTTCTTGCAATTTGAGAACCTGCTGGTCAACGAACTGGGATTTCTCGTGCTCTATCACGTACGGATCGAGAGGGCATGGATCCTGGCCCTTTTCCTTGGGGCGTCTGCATTGCCTTGGGAGTGTGATGCCTGAGAATCCGCCGTCGATTGTAATATTTTCCCTCTCCCCACAGTTCTTACATACTATATGTAGACGAGTAGCTTTTGACGAAATCGTGGACGCTCCGATAACAATACCTGGGATTCGAACCAGGTGAGATATATTGGTGGCATTCAGATCCCGAATAGTGATATGAGATACGCTTGAGTGCAGTAAAAGTTGATGTTCTGGCAGTTCAATATCTCGTTCAGACGGATAGACGATTCTTTGAGTGCATTGTTTGAGAGCGGCTTCAAACTGTGCAAATTGTAATGAAAAAGAAATAAGTCACCATCCATCCAAAGTTGGTCCAAAAGAACACTCACAAGCGGGATTGTGTCAGCTGGGTCGGTAGTAAGTCTATGCGCTAGTTCTTCGTTGTATGCGATGAGATGGGCGATATCAACATCGCAGTAGAATTTTTTGATCAGCACGTTCTGTCGAATTTGGTCCCTATATAACAAGGTTAATGACCACCCATCCCAACAGTAGGCCTAGCCCATACGGTATATCGGGTAGAAATCCAGAATTTACCTGTAAATGAATGTGTTGTCTAGCTGGAAGGCCAGGATGAATTCCCGTAGCTGCGCTTGGATTCTTGTGCGCGGTTCCGCCAGGCCATCCGTTTGTGGCTGGAGCACGCTCAACGAATATGGTGTTCTTCGATCCATGGTGATGACACTCCAAAACTTGCTCCCAGAGTTGGTTGCACTAGATGTACGTATGAGTGTGAAGAGGGTTGTTCTGTCGTCGTCGGCGAGAAATCTTTCGCTATCAGGAACGCGACGCGTTGATGCTTCCTAGCGCGTAAAGTGGTTTCTTGGCTAGTTACGCTAGCGTGTCTATGGTGGATAAACTTATTCCCGCAACAAAAGCGGTGAGGCTGGAATGCGGTTCTGCCGCTCTAGCTCTGATTGGACAACACTGGCCAAGCCACCTTCTAGCGGCTCTTAGGAGCAGACAACTATGCTTCAATACCACCTGTATCACGGAGCAAATACTATCCCCGGAGCTGACAGCTTGAGTTCAAGGAGGTTGCCGACGATATACCCCCGGCGCATCTTCTATTCCCTGAATTGATGGTTTTATTTTGTTGTCGCATTCTTCCTTCGTTTCCCTATGTGTCGAGTCTCGGCCCGTATTTAGGTATGTGATGATCCGCAGTCGCGACCGCTGCCGTCTGCCTGCCGGTTCACCACCAGCTGTGGTGCCTCTTTCGATATGGCCTCTCCCGACCGGCGTAAATCTGTGGAAAGCTTGGCCTCCATCGCCTCCGTTTCCTCGTCTACACGGCTTTCCTCCAGTCAGTATGATCCTAGCAGTCGCTTCCCTCATCGACCACGCTACGATTCAAGGCGGAGCTCAACTGCTAGCTCGATAACGGGGGGGATAGGGGGAGCTTTGGACTCTTCACTTCATCATGGGTCGATAGCGGAGGCTGGACATAACGGTTTGTCCTTCATGGCGTTAGGGGCTTCTGTGTAAAATAACTAGGACAGAAATGCTGATCGATTGATTGAGTTCTGTATACAGCCATATCTACCCTTCTCCAACAACCCATAGTTCGCACCGGTATTCTACCACAGGCCTCCGTTCTATCAAGCGGGTATAAACCGCCGACCACTCGAGATATCCCACCAGTTACCTTAACCAACATCCCGCATGTGGATTCCAAGGCATTCCATCCATACATCTCCCAGGTCGGATCGTTATATGACGCCTTTCGCCGTTCAAAGGAGAATAGAGATGAAAAGGAGCCACAACTGTTTAGATCTAGTAGTTCAGTTTCTTTATCTGGAGATATAGACACGCTGTTGAGCAGCCAATTGGAAAGGAAGCAATCTGGCCAGCAATCATCTCTTGCGCCTGTCCCAGAACATGCCACCCCGCGGAGAAGGTCTTCAGGACAGAGAGGCCGAGGTCCAGCGACTGCTCCCTTGTCCACCATTCCAAACATTTACTTCGATGAAAATTTCCACCTCGAAAATCCCCGGACATTTGATGTCGTATCTGAACGATCAGAAGTTATCCGATCCCCATCAAAACCTCCTGATGAAAAAGCTGCCAATGCTACATTTGACCCACGCCCGTCATCTGGTAGAAAGGCTTTAGCGACAAATGCAATATTGCAAGAGAAATTATCATGGTATCTTGATACCGTGGAAATCCACCTTATCTCCTCAATTTCAACTGCCTCTACTTCATTCCTCACTGCGCTCGGTTCGCTACAAGAACTCCATAACGAAGCAACCGACTCAGTTAAAAAAATCCAGGCCCTGCGAAGGGACTTAGCAAAGCTAGATAACGATATGGCTTTGGGAGGCCTAAAGATCGTCAGTCTACGTCGTAGGCGAGAAAACGTCAGGAAATTGGCCGACGCTGTTTGTCAGCTCAAAGAAATAATAGCGTGCGTGTCGCAGTGCGAACAAATGGTAGAAAATGGTGATATTGAAAACGCTCTAGATGAACTGGATAATGTTGAAAGACTTACAGCCGGCGAGCAGGTTCTCGTAAATCGTGAAGATCGCAGGGACCGGCCCCAGCCCCAACTACCGGAGACTCTCATCGATCTCCGTGGAATTAAGGCTTTGGAAGGGGCATCGCATGATTTGAGCCAACTGCGACATCGGATTGGGCTCGGGTATGAGCGACGATTCCTGGATTGCTTAATAGGAGACCTTAGACGACATGTCGAGGCTGTACCTCCCGATCTCACATTACTACGTCTAGGAGACGCGTTCCAACGCTCACGGAGGGGTCATCGGAAAGTCGTTTCTGGGTTGCCAACGTATATGACTGTGGATAGTGAATTGAGATCGAGGTTAAGAACAGAATTGGCCGGGCTAGGTCGTGCTAAATACACCACACCTGCCGCAACTTCATTCAAAACCTCAGTTCTACGTGAAATGAAGAGTGCGATCCGGCGACATTTGCCCAGCTCAAGCGACGATGACAACGAATCGATAATGTCCGCATCGACTCATGGAGGTCGCCGGCTAAGTCAACAAGAGAAGTCATCAATACTGGCGCGGAATCTCCGAGCACTCGACCCCGATGACGCGTTCTTAATGTTAACAAAAATATACACTGGCGTGAGCGAATCCCTTCGGAGATTGAGTGTGCAGGTTAAAGTACTACTGGATATCACAAGTGGACTCGGTAGCCCCCCTAGTACTGGCGGCATACGATCTCCTGGCCGAAGTCCAAGCCTAAATTCGCTAGACACCATCACCCGAGCCAGAGTGTCACCTGTCATAGCACAGGAAGAGATACTGGAGGTTCTCGATATGTCAAGCCTTCTCGGCCAAGCGGTCGATATCGTTCAATCGCAAATAGTTAAAATTTTGAAAGTTCGCTCAGAGCAGATCGCCCACAGCTCACTCGAGCAGTTTCTGAGATACTTTAGCTTGAACAAGCTTTTTGCGGACGAGTGTGAAGCAATTTCTGGGCGGAGTGGCGCGTCTTTGAAAAATGTCGTTGATAGTCAGATAAAAGAATTCATCTCCAATTTCGGCGATAGCAGGAAACGTAGGATCGTGCAAGTGATGGATTCGGATAGGTGGAACGCTAAAGATTTTGGTGACGAAGAGAATATCTTGCTCTCTCGAATACTCAGAGCGAGCACGCAAGATATAGACTTTTGGATTTCAACTTCGAGGATATGGGAGTCCGAAGATGGCAGCCAGGAATCGACGACAGCGCAGGCTAACACCGAAGTAAATGGCAACGGCGTATCTAGCACAGGGAAAGATAAAGTCCGGGGCGCAATAGTGGATGAGCAGAAATATATTCTGCCTCAGTCTGCTCTTGTCATTTTAAACATCATTGACGAATTTCAACACCTGATGACGGGCATTCCAAGCATGGTGCAGGATATAGCCCTTAATTTCCTGGACTGCCTCAAACTATTTAACTCACGCTCCTCCCAACTAATCCTCGGCGCTGGTGCCATGAGAAGCGTTGGTTTGAAAAACATCACAACAAAACATCTTGCTCTTGCTTCGCAGGCGCTGAGCTTTGTCACTGCACTTATCCCTTACATCCGTGAATTCGTTCGCCGCCACCATACTTCCCCGACACTGATGGCCGAGTTTGATAAGGTCAAGCGACTGTACCAAGAACATCAGTCCGGTATCCATGAGAAGTTGGTCGATATCATGAGCTCCCGCGCCGCTATCCGTGTCAATTCTATGAAAAAGATAGACTGGGATCAACCGCAGGACTCTCCTGCCGTCAATCCGTACATGGAGACCTTGACAGAGGAGACCGGTACACTCCACCGAGTCCTGGCTAAGCATCTACCAGAAATGACGGTGATGATGATCATGGATCCTGTTTTCGCGAGCTATAGAGAGCAGTGGACAAAGGCGTTCCAGGCAGCCACTTTGAAGACGGAGAGTGGGAAGAAACGGTTAGTTGATTGAATTTTTTCAATTTTCCTCCCTGTATTTTTGCCTGATAAGATCTAGTTCACCCAACCTAACACACAATTACACAGAATGATCTCCGACGTCGAGTACTTCAAAGCGAAAATCGATAAAATAGATGGATCAGGCGATCTGGGCGACCACCTTGTAGGGATTGTACGGGCGAAATCAGTCGCTTCATCACCCAAGCCCCAATCATCACCATCACCTCCTCCAGCTCAAGAAGTAGAGCAACCGCCCCCACCAGCTGAGAAAAATGGAGACTCAAATTCGGATGAGCCGTGATGGACTTGGTCGGCAATTTCGGAGCACATCGGGGTATTGGTGGGCAACGAAAACGTTGTCTGTTTCTCAACGCGTTATACATTTCTCTTTGGCTTTTATCACCTTTCATTCCTGCCAAGGTGGTGTTGGGCGTGACAGCAACAACCTCAGATTCTCGTCACATTTTTCCAGAGATTATAAAGACCTTGCTTGGGACTAATTCATTTCTACTTCTATTTATATGAATCAACCCTTACCTTCGTCTGTTAGCGCATGATATATTATATTTCTAGAGTACCTTTTTGGGGGTTGAGGAGAGCGTTGGAGTCCCGATGATTCTTAATTCCGATTAAATAAACGAGCCCCGCCCTAGCTAGGTGTTTTGCAGTTTGCTAAATGTGTTGTCAATCTATCCTAGTACCCTACCTCTTTTCGAGATCTCGTCATTTACCGCTCTTCTTCTCTGTTGAACTTTCATGATCTGCTCACACCCTATACCCTTCTACATGTATATTACTACGCCCAACTTTTTAATCGCAGATGTCCCAGTCCCTCACTAGTGTGAGACATGCAGCATCATTGTGAAATCTCAGAGTGGCTTACATGTCAAATCCTGTGAACCAAAGCTTATGTTTTTTCGTTCTTGTTACATATTTCTTTTGTCTATCTAGAGTCATACTCACATTTATTATCCCTTTAATAAATCGCCGTAAAGCGTTGAAAGTAGACCATCATCTCCCGATACCATTGTCCCATATATTGTTTCTGCTTCAAAACCCGACCAGGACTGATCCGCCACATATGCGTAGCAGAAACCATGAAGCGCCTGAGACATTTTTGTAGAAAGATAGTTTAAAGTGAGCTGGTAGTGTTGCTTAGAAGTCATAGAGTGTTTTCGTTATTCTGAAGGAGAAATTTCGCTTTTGCCCCCTTGCTTTGCTTGGAGGTAACTACAAAAGAGGTTTAGTTGCAATATTTACTGGGACAGGTTTATTTCTTTGGTTGTATTCCAGTGGCTAAAGACATGTTATTTTCATTATTTGAAAGGACATCATTGCCCCCAGTACTCCGTACTGTAGTTTCTATGTTCATTGATACACTAGCAGATGAGGGGGTTTAGGCTCCAAGGAAAATGAAAGAACCATTCATATCATAATGAAGCTATGAGAGACTGTCCATTTATTAGATCTTATTTTGCAAGCTTTACTTTCTTACACAATATATTTTGTTTCTGTTTCATTTTGGCATGATTTTTTTGTCATGATTAATTAAACAAACCTGAAGCTTCCCTTGATACCATAACTTTCCACTCAGAACTCCATGAGTGCGAAGCCAAATTAATAGTCCACAGCGGAAAGAAACAATGCATGATTCAAATATTTTCTTTGCAGGAGACCGTGGCCACCAGCTCGAAAACAAGGGAACAATGAACAAAACATAGTTCCTCTTTGAAACATCTTCTCTCGAAAATCGAAAACGAGCGCTTATTGTTCTAGTTGCCCAGGCGGTTGGCAAACTAAGGCAATTTTTGAGCTGGGTGGTATGGCGAAGGTATTTTGCCTACTCCCTCGTATATATAAATGTCCACCCGGAAGCCCGTACTCCCTTTACATACATCTCCATCCCTCTCTACTATGGCAGCACATGTTCTAGCGTCTTACTACTACCACGCGTACGAGGTCAATTTCTAATACCACTTCACGATGGTGATACCCAACGGATGAAAGCTGGGTACCAGACATCCAGTACGAGCACCCTTTTCAAGTCCATTCCACATGGGTTAGTAATACCTATTTCCCATCCTTTCAGACTATAGAAATGCGATCTAGGACATGAATGACACATGGAAGGTCCATTATCATGCTCTAGCACCAAGAATAGGATTCTCATATGATAAATAACCCGGTATTATTCCCTTTCCATATGCCGTTTCGTGATTGTCCATAATTTGATGAATTTTCATCCATGATATAAACCCTTGTATCGGGCACCACAGTCCCAGGTTCTCTCGAGGTACCTGTCCCCCCAATTCGGCGACATCGTTTCCGCAGTGAGGAAAGGTTATGCAGAAAATGACCGATAGAAGCGTCAAAATGAAACATATCAAGAATACTATGCGAAGATTGTCAAACTGGGGATTTACTCCTCCATGAAGGGAAGATTTGGTAGAAATTGCGGAAATCTTTTCAGTCCAATCACGTCTTTGGCAACTAACAACGTCGGGGCTTCTCCCTAAAATCAAATATAATTCTTTTTAAGGAGGTAAGGCGGGTACAACTTCCCTGGGGCTTGGTAGAAATTGCGGAAGCCTTCAGATCCAATGTCAGCCTGTTCCCATATGTGCCTGTGTATATTTTTCTTTTCTTTCCTATCATATATCCGCCTTTGTTTTCACAGACTCACATACATTTCCTTTGCCATCGCCCGCTCATTTCCCGATTTTATTATTTTCTTTGGTTGTATGTTTTGTCTCATGCAGCTATCTCTTTTCTTCTTCTTTTTCTATATTTCTCTTTTACCTTTGGCTCTTGTTTCATACTTTCATATCCTCGATTATCGTCTCCCGGTCATCTGTATATTTCCCCTCACTTTCTCTGAGGTCACCTGGCAGAAATTGCGGAGGGGACCTTTTTGATTTAATGAGGTAGAGTAACAACAAACCCCATCGTCTTTCTTCACACTGGCCTGGGAGAGGAGCATGACGCTCAGCTTGGCAGAAATAGCGGAAGTTTTTGAGCTTTTTGTTTTCCACCGGCCTCATATGGCTTTGAACTGTTGTATCTTGGTTTGGTAGAAATAGCGGAAACCAAGAAGGCAGTACTAATATCTCACCTTTGGACGGATATGTTTACATATGCGACACGACGAATAACGACGTATGGGGACAGGAGCAGTTGCAGCCCAGAGTAGTGCAGGGGGCATGCAAGTTTAAAATGAGACGAGTGTTATCGTGCACAAGTTCTAGCGGAATTCAACGGGGGTCGGCCGATGATGGGAATATGGAATATCGTCACCATAGGAAAATGAGCAATGGACCGCTGACGCACTGTATTCAAGAAAACGAGTTATAATGGGACAACTGGAAGCTCCGTTTATGTCGCCCAAAACAAGGGGAAAGAGATGCGGATTAGCGAGGGAAAGACAGGGAGAGAGCAGCTATGGATAATACTCTAACTTTTGGAAAGTTCAATCGCCTTTATTTATGCGATGTGGAATGGAAAGACCACTCAGGTGAAAACAACAAAAACAACGAATGATCAGTACAATGAGAATCATCAAGTTACATACATTTCCTATCTTTTGCTCCTACACATATGTAACAATGGGATATAATTTGTGAGAATGTTGTGGAACGGAACCCCCCGCCCCACCTGGCTTGGCTATGGCTGACGGGAGATCGACAAGAGCTAAGCGCGTTCCGCCAACTACTAAGAGCCGCCAAGACCCAGTCTGGGATCTAGACGCAATCATCTTCGCTGATACTACGGATTAGTATTGGCTGGGATTTGTAGATACCTTCGACAAAAAGTCTTTTGCTATTGCACCTAAATAGAATATTTCTGTAAAAGCTGTCTACTCTAAAATTAATGCTGCTGCTTGCTTTTATTCGGATTGCGTGCTTTAAAACAGACTGAACCAAAGTCATAGAAATGGATATAGACATATATATATCTCCTCAATACAGGAAGCCCATAAGTGAAAATAACCAACACGAATGTAAAATAGCAGTATGCAAAGAACATACTAAGTTTATTTCAACAACAAAGCATAATTTCCCAGCCAAAGTTACGCCATTATTAAATTAGTAACCATTATTATAGAACAAGAAAATAAAAAAGCCGAGGAACTTGGTGCGACTTAAAATCCCGTCAACCCGAACCCTACCCTCCCCTCCGTTCATACCACGAAATTTTCTTAGAGAATGACTTGACAAATCTATCCCCATCTACCCCTAGGCCTAGGTAGAATGAGATGCCTGGAGCCCTCGTAAATCCTGCACTGCCGCAACGCGACGAAGACAAGATGGTTCCTGTAACTCTTCAAGCCACTTAATTACATTGCAACGTGGGTCATAAATTTCACCTTTTTCAATTCCACCCGCATTCTCAGAATCCCAGGCTCTGGTATGGATGGCGGAAGGCGACATCTGACAAGCAACCGTTTGCTTTGCGCCTGAGAGACGGCTTTTAGGGAAAGCAGCCAAGGACGCCCAGTCATTCAGATCCAAGTTAGCTGTAGAGGCAGTTAGGGCCAGGCCAGCTGTAGAGATAGTCGAGGGAGCAATGTGCTGGGCGACAAAGGGGCCGAATCCGGCTGTTTCAATGTTGGGTCTCGGAGTCATAGCATATGAATTTTGATATAACAGTTGCTGCTCGGTAGAGTTAAGGGATGTAGAAGAGGTGAGCTGTTTGAGGCTGGCTTCCGTCTGGGATCTGAAGAACTTGCGCAGGAATGCGAAGCCCGATCGTCGGTTTGGCTTCTCGTTCATCGCTGGGGGCTGTGGATCGTTGTGGCTGCGAGATGGTTGATGAACTGGCTTGGTTTCATCTCCCGGCTGGTCGCGAGTATCAGTGTCTTTCCGCCGGAATAGAGGGCAGATATGTCGCTTGAGCTTTGCGAATACGCTTTCATTTCTTTTGATATCAGGTATGGTTGTAGTAGAAGAGTTAGCGATCTCGACGATATGGATGCGGACGTCCGGCGTGTATGGGGAATCTAGATATTCTATATTGACTGTGCGGCGAGAAGGGCTGCTTGAACGTTCGGATGCTCTACGGCGTAGATACAATAGGCGTCTACCATTTTTCATCCGATCTGCCAGGCAGACCCTTTCTTTAGATCTTAAAGACCGCCTCATGTTCGCTTTTATGGTGCGGTAAGACGGTGGAGAGTGGGGGAGACCCAAAACAGAGCTGTCTCACTTTCTAAACGTTAGCGGATGGCTGGTATGAACAAATATCGAAATAGAGGCAATAGATGTGCGAATATCATACTATGAGCATGGTGCAAATATAGAACAAGGCGTGGAGTGAAGGAGGTCAAATCGTTGTAGTATGTGTAGTGCCCTGAGACGCCGCAAATTTTATTACTTCCTAGCCAGCGCTAATAAAAGGTGACCTCTCGCGTTTATCCTATAGTTCAAAAAATTACTTTTGTCGTCATTGTAGAAGTAGATAATGCAGTGTTTAGTTTGGCAAACAAAGTTGGTATGCGACCGTTGGAACGAGGTATCCTAGCCTTCCGACCATATCACGAACCCGTGGCACGGTTCCGCTTAAAGTTCGAACTGAACCAAAATCGGGTAGATCTAGATAGTAAAAATGATCGAAGTAAACAAAACCTGTGTTGGATGTGGACGTTAGCTATAGGTATCTCAAGGAATGCGTTTCGAGGTAGGGAGGAAAGAAACTGTACTGAGCTACGACGATGAGGGACCCAAGGGCTACCTCTGCTCTACTACAAATAGTTCTTGGGAGTTGAATTCCTCCATGGCGGTAAGAAGGGAGAGGGGGGGAATAACGCTTCGAGCGAGAGAGAAATCGATGTTGTTTTAGACGATGTGAGATAAGGAATGAGACTGTGGCTGAAAACGGTAGTTAGTGATGCCGACCGCGGCTCAACATGGTGGTGATGATCATTCAGCGACAGCACGATGAACACATGTCGGGGTTGCAACAGCAACAAGCGCGATTTAAGCTCCCACCAACGAGAAAATTGAGTAAAAGAACATAAAACTGGATACTTCTGGAATTCAGCTTTCGAATGGAATAAAAATGAAATAAATGCTATAGGAGATATGGTTTGGGACAAATTGCGCAGGTTGAAAACGTGGCAGATGACATATTCCGGCTTATTCAGGGGCTATCTTTCGAAATCGAGAGGGAAAAAAAAAATCTAGGTGAATCATCTCACCGTTACTCAATTATTATGACAAGAACAACCCCTACAAACAATTGTGGAGTGATGAGCATGTTTGCTAGACAAAATGGAGTGAATAGGAATCGAACCCAGCCCCTGGATTTCGAAGACAAGTACGCGAGGTACAAAGGGGTGACCATACAAGAGGTACATGTAGATTTCCACCCTGAATTATTGAGATCACAGGCTCAATCCACATTCAAATTAATCAGAAAGGTTGAGAGAGAATAAATTCAACTTTTCTGGAGGTGGTAAAAGCTCACAATGAGGTCTTGCGGCCTCATTGCTATGAAACTCTGCCCTGAAGGGTTGGTTTCTCACCCACCAGCGGTACCTTTTCTGAGACATCTAAATGGCGCTGTCGTGGTGTGATGCCGTATGCGTTGCTAAGTACCAGGTACTTGTAAGCCGGGCTTATACCGTGTGCATGAGTTAACCATTAGACCAGGCCGGGTAACCAGGCTGTGGAGTATACCCGTTATACCCTTAAACTGGCTTATAAGGAAAGGACCAAAAAGCAACTAAAACACCCCATAACTCACGCAGCAAGGCTCCGAAAGACACCAAAAATCGGCGAGAATATCCCCTGTGCATTTATATTCTCTTCATCATAATTAAAAACAGGAAAAGGGCCTAATCGAGCTGTTCGAAGGACGGGGGGTTGGCAAGCAGAAAACGTCTCCGTGTGTTTGTCACGTGCCAAGCAGCAATGCGCTGCTCAGGCTCCTTCCAAAAATATCGACGGTGTTCTATACCGCGTTAACCTGAGCAGAAGAGAACCTGTTACCTCAATATGAAGCAACTCAGGTGCAGGAATAAGACTCTGGATAGCAAGACTCCAGTAAGCTCTGTCCCCTTATGCTTCCCTGCTGGGGAGAGTGGACTTCTGCAACGCGTGGGACATGCCAAAATGCTGAGTTATTCGAAGTGGTGAAGATAAAGCTACCGCACGAAACGGATGAATGTGCTAACTTTTATCAACAGGTGATAGAAATGCCCCTTATCCTTGCAACGGAGCAAACCTCGAAACCTGGAAGACGCTTTGGAAATTCAAAGCCCTAGCCTGTACCGCAGGCAGCAGGCTTGACAAGATATAAGAAAATGTGGGTATATATGATAAGGAAAAACTACGTTAATTCACAATGAAAGAAATTGGATATGGCTGCTATCTCAAGTGCAGCAATATATGGATCTTTGAAAAGCCATCTCCTCCGGTGGAACAGGGTAACAAGAGACTCAGAGCAAGCAAATATGATGTGAAATAATTCAAAAAATGAACATATGTATGGACGATATCACAACATCGTCACAATCTCCATATCACTATTATATTTGGAAAGCCGGCCATTCCGATAGACGGTGAAGCCCATGAAACGGAGCCGGGTTGGCAGAGTCTGAAGACCCATAAGAAGACTACGCCCCCGCGCTCCAGGCGTCGAACTCTCCCAGGAGTAGAGTGTCTATCACCGAGTTTGGCCAAGCGAACTAATATAGAGGGAATAACAGATGAAAGGAAGTGTATAGAAGACAGGAAGCGCAGTGATTGAAATGACGTCGAAACAAGATCATCTTGTGGGATGATCCTATCCGAAACGGGCCGCGCCAAGTGTGGGGATTGACAAGGGTTAGTTACGGCGGCTGTTGGCGATCCGTGGTCGAGTCGAATCCTGAGTTAGCCGCCTTGGTACACCCAAAGCGGGGTGGAAATGTAACTTACCTATAAGTTGTGAATCAGTTTGTCCTTTTTGGGACTTTTCTAACTACTTTATTGAAAGCGGGTAAGTGTGGTGCTAAGTTTCATCACTGAAAGAAAATGTTATTATTAAGACCAAAATGGTAGAAAATATGTAGATACCTATATCATTTCTCGCGGTTGGATGCCTCCGCATTCCTCGAATACCGATACTACCTAGTACTCTTCTTAGCACATGCATCATTGAAGTCCTACCACCAAGAAATCCATTTTCTGCCTCGCCGTGGTCGTTAAAGCTCCTCAAACTCCATGCGGAAAGTTGAGTGATTTTATATTTTATCACTCGAAACCTTAATTTAGTTCGATTCAGAGCATATTCTCTGGCGCCGTGTGGAGATTTATTAGTACTAATTCTGAAGAAGGTAGGGATTCGGTTCAATTTATTTTGACCTCATCAAAACTCTTTAGATTTGCTGGGGCGTTAACAATGGTATTTTCTTACTACTATCTGGCTGGTGGTATCTTTTTAACGTCCCCATATGCATTCTGAGAAGCCATATAGTTGCGATCAGGATGAACCGTTTCATTTTTACCAAAATTAGCACCGTAAGTTCCCTCAAAATAGGTACTAGTCCGTTGGCTTGATGTGAGTTTACTATTTCTTCCTATCTCGCTCTCTCTTATGCTGACGGGAGAAACCTGCCGCATCGTCCTGCTGAGAGCGATATACATGTACATACAAGGATGGTTTTGCAACAAAAGTGACACATCGTGTTGATGAATTCAAAAGGATTAGTTTTGATATAAATTTATTTTCATCTGTCTCCTATATCTAGACGACAACGTATTACCTACGAGAGGAAAAACTTGGTTTTTTGTGGAAAAATAGTCAAACGGTGGAGCAGCAAGATATAGATGATATCATCGCGATACATAGATCATACTACTAATGGCTCCCAAGGTCCCTGATTGGTTCTAGTTATTTTAGCCCCGCTATCCAACATTTCAAGTCGGGAACTGAATTTATGACTTTGAAACAATTATCCGCCAGTTGCGAAATTTGAATCATCATTCTGATCGATGATGATATCTTACAGAGGCACCTGTTTGTTCCATTTTAGCGGAGACTGATTGTGCGTATTTCTCGTCGATCCACCCCGGATCGCTGCTCATTTTGGTGAACGATGATGCAAATGTAGCGAACTTCATCGTTTTGAGGCCCTGCCGAGGATAGCTTTTTAAGTCAAGTACAGAGTATACAGTATATATTTAGCGAATTGTTCTCGGTTGCAGCTCTTTGGCCACCAAGAGTACCTAGGAAGATAGCCCGGTGTAGGACGGGATGCAACCTAAAGCAAGTGTCTAGCGGCACACTTGAGTGTGCTTTTACGATTCTCAACTGCCAAGGTAGAAGAGATTTTGTTGATTTTCGCCACTCAACAATGAATTTTGAGAAAATCCCTGATCGTGGGAAAATGTCTGCTGCTTTAGCGTGGGCAAAGGGTGCGCCTAGATTGCGTAACTTACTATAACTATATATGGGTATGTAAAGTTGACCAGTAGTTAACTAACTATTCTAGCTAGGATTTGTGAACTGAGCTGAGAGAGCTAGCTAGTTAGTTAACTAATAACTAGCCTAACAAGCCCATTGTCAAAAGTTTGTTGAGTGCTGCTTCCAGACGGGAGATTCGTTCGCGCTGACCAGAGATGAGAGGTTTAATTGCTGTTAACTACTCCGTACTCCGTAGGTTAATGGTAGTTAACTAGGCAGGGCAGGATAACGGCCAGGTTGCTTCTTGTCATCAACCATAACGCCAGCCAACTGCCGTTGCAGAGGCTAGTAAGAGAGTTTCAACAGACTTTCAGGGCTTGGAGCTCCTACAACGTAGTAACTAGTTCGTTGAACCCTGGCCTTGTTTCTTGTCGGTGGCGGGCCAAGCGATGAGGGCATAGTATAGTTATCCAGGATGTCAACCTTGCTGCATTGGGACTGAGCACCCCTCCGCGGCTTCATCTCCGTCTTCTTCCTCTTCCCCTTCCCCCTCCCCCTCCCTCCCCCCAACCTGTCACCTTCGCTCTTCAGTTCCTCTTCTGCTGGCTATTGTTCTTGATCATCCATCCCGTTCTCAATGATGCTGTGACCACACGAAGATTGAGGTGACTGACTGGCTTTGTACTGCTCGCGATCGCACGGCAAGCTTTAGTGCAACTGAACCCCGCCTCGAGTGTACTCCAGCTCCATATTCCCCGCAGCCAACGTTCGTTGCGCATATATACAAAGTTCATTTCATACGTCTTGTGCTTTATTTGGTGCCTATACCCTATATTACTCCATTTCACCCTTTTATCCTCATCTTTTTTGGCTGGACCGTCGCGTATGTACATGTACAATCATGTCCGACCACAATAGTCCCGATATGCCCAAACGGGACATCAAGAATCATGTGCTGTTTGAAATTGCAACTGAGGTCGCCAATCGAGGTTTGTGATTCCTTAACTTCTATTTACCGGGAACTGTGCTTTCAAGTGAATGTCAGGCTGACCATTCGTCCTATGCATTACTAGTTGGTGGAATATACTCTGTCCTCAAGTCCAAGGCGCCGGTTACTACAGCAGAGTATGGCCAAAGATACACGCTCATCGGCCCTCTGAATCGTGCATCGGTATATATACATACATTCCCTTGCCCCTTACTCCAGACTCCGTTTTTTTACGTGTTTATATATTGCCCATTGTGTGGACTGAATTGACAATCTCATAGGCTGTCGTCGAAGTCGAAGAACTTACGCCCTCCGACCCCCATCTTATCGAAACTATGACCTCGATGAAGGAGCGGGGGATTGATATGATGTATGGACGGTGGCTTATTGAGGGTGCGCCAAGGGTGCTTCTGATCGATACGGGTGCGGGATACAAATATCTGGACGAGTGGAAGGGTGATCTTTGGAATGTGGCGGCCATCCCTTCTCCGGCAGAGGATAGTGAAACGAACGAAGCTATCGTGTTTGGCTATTTGGTCGCTTGGTTCCTTGGTGAAGTACGAGCCGACAACCCCTTTGTCTATAGTATTTAAACATGTACGTTGCTGCTAACTTATGACTCAAGTATATTTCAAGAGATAGAAGGAGGGCAGTTGTCGCGCATTTTCACGAATGGCTAGCTGGCGTTGCCCTCCCCTTGACCAAGAAACGACATATGGACGTCACAACAATTTTCACCACCCATGCAACCCTGCTAGGCAGATATTTATGCGCTGGATCTGTCGACTTTTACAACAATTTGCAATTCTTTGACGTTGATGCGGAAGCAGGCAAAAGAGGTATATACCACCGATACTGCATCGAGCGTGCTGCGGCGCATTCGGCAGATGTTTTTACTACGGTGTCGCACATCACAGCGTTCGAGAGCGAGCATCTGCTGAAACGCAAACCGGATGGCGTGTTGCCGAATGGGCTCAACGTGAAGAAGTTTTCTGCGGTCCACGAGTTCCAGAATCTTCATTCCAATTCCAAAGATAAGATTAACGACTTCGTCCGTGGCCATTTCTACGGACATAACGATTTTGATCTTGACAATACACTATACTTCTTCACCGCAGGCCGTTATGAATATCGGAACAAGGGGGTAGATATGTTTATCGAATCCCTTGCCAGGCTAAATCATCGACTGAAAACAGCAGGATCCAATGTAACGGTGGTAGCATTCATTATCATGCCTGCGCAGACATCGTCGCTCACGGTTGAGGCCCTGAAGGGACAAGCGGTTGTGAAATCGCTTCGCGATACATTAGAGATGGTCGAGAAGGGGATTGGAAGGCGACTATTCGAGCGCTGCCTCAGCTGGAAGGAAGGGGATAATATGCCCGATGAGAAAGATTTAATAACCAACCAGGACCGAGTGCTTTTGCGCCGTCGATTGTTCGCAATGAAGCGGCATCAACTCCCCCCCATCGTGACGCATAACATGGTTAACGATGCCGATGACCCTGTGCTAAACCAGCTGCGTCGCGTTCAACTCTTCAATCATTCTTCTGACCGTGTCAAAGTTGTGTTCCACCCCGAATTCCTCAATTCTTCCAATCCGGTCTTGCCTCTTGACTATGACGATTTTGTCCGCGGTACGAATCTAGGCGTTTTCCCGTCATACTATGAACCTTGGGGTTATACACCTGCAGAATGCACAGTTATGGGGATTCCCAGCATAACCACCAACCTGTCCGGATTCGGATGCTACATGGAGGAATTAATAGAGAACTCTTCGGATTACGGTATCTATATCGTCGACCGCCGCATGAAGGGTGTAGATGATTCTGTCAATCAACTTACGAACTATATGTTTGAATTCGCGTCCAAGAGTCGTAGACAACGCATCAACCAGCGGAACAGGACGGAGCGACTAAGTGATCTTCTGGACTGGAAGCGTATGGGTATGGAGTATGTTAAGGCTCGACAGCTGGCGCTTCGAAGAGGTACGTTTCCTCATACAGGGTTCACACTCAGGATACACATTCGCAACCTTTATCCAAAACTCAATTTACATCCTAGCGGTTAAAGCTAACTAATCTTCCACTATTTGTAGCATATCCAACTTCTTTTGATCCCTCAGAAGATTTCAGTGATATAATTGGAGGCACTGAACAGAAGATTTCCCGCCCGTTTTCAGTACCCGGTTCCCCAAGAAGCCGGACGGGGATGATGACGCCTGGCGACTTTGCTTCCCTGCAGGAGGGCCGTGAAGGCCTCAGTACCGAGGACTATATCGCCTGGAAGTTACCGTGAGTGTTTTTTCTCTTTTTGTTCTTGAAGACCATGTTCGGAACTTCGATTTGGAAATTGAACCCTTGATGTTCTCCGCTGCATTCTTTGGTTAAATACAAAACTAACCACGGCTTTTTACGAATATCCAGTGAGGAAGAAGACGCAGAAGATTACCCATTCCCACTTGCCTTGCGGAAGAAGGGCGCACCTGTCGAGCAACCACACTCACCGGACAGGGAGGTAGCTACTAACGGCGACGTTTAAAGATTACGACAAGACGAATGACTGTGACGATGAAGACTGATTTAACTCAGATATATCTTTATTTAACCTCACTCTGTTCTTTTTCTTTTTTGTTGTTGTTGTTGTTTGTTTTAGTTTTTCATTTTCATTTTTTGAAACTTGATTTTGGATGTATCTCTCGTGAAAGGAGTCGTTGATATCATATGCTTCTCGTTCACCTTCCGTTTCTTGCCTCTTTCCTTCAATTTTTGTACTTGTGTATATGCTATCCTATATTATATCTATTTAGTTATGTGTGTTCGTTACGATATATACGATGCATGTGTATATTTGCGATGTCAGTTGCAATCCTACTATTTCCCCCTTCCTTGTTGTTCTTGCCTTTTTGTCAGCTTCTTTTAGCTTTTATTTCTGGCTCCAATTCGTCTAGAAGCGAAGACATTTTTACCATATCCGCATCGCATGTCCGCCAAACAACCTGATTTTTTCTTGCCTGTCTACATCGCTGATGATCTGTGTCTTAGTTTTTTCTTATTTCACCTTGCATAATACCGATAGTGGTATAGAATCTCAGTTTCGTCACCATGCGCTAAATCATATATTCAATTACTTACAGCTGGATATTGAAATAGGGCACTCAATCGTGGATTAAGAGAGGGGCGCTGGTGAAGACTACGTGGGACGAAACAGGAAGAGACAGATTAAACAGAAATTCCTGGTGAGCTACGTGTATGAGTGTATAGTACATCGTTCAGCAGAAGGGACTTATTCAAACTATGAAGCAACCCGATTTCATCGACTTGTCTCCGTCTCCGCCAGAAACTTCATTTAAAAATCAGCAAGCGAAAAATTTTCTCCAAGATCCCTCTTCCCAAAAGTCGACACAGCCCAATAATAAATATCAGCAATATCCTTGCAATTCTCCTCCTTCTCCTTATTCTTCTCCTTCGCACACTCTTTATACAAATCACTGCGGAACAACTTATCAATCTTCTTCTTGTTGGCCTTCGAGAAGCGGCCTTGGGCCTTGTAGTTGCGATAGCCGAAATCGTGCCTGTAGCAGCTGGGGAGGAAGTTGAAGCCCGGCTTATCTGGGGACTTGGAGCAGCCGTCTGAGCGCCAGTTTAGCGAGGAGGGCCTCTTCTTGTTGCGTGCTGCTGTGAATTGGGCCATAGTTGAGGAGAAGAGGAGTCGGTCTGTGGCTTGCCGGGGGGTTTCTGCTCTCGCGGTGAGGATTGAAAGATCACCACCCGCGGGAGCCGCCGCAGTGGGGGCGGAGAGTGTGAAGGCGCCCATTGAGCAGAGGGTGAGGAGGAATGTGGTCTTCATAGTTGGTATGTCCCTTCTATACAAATCGGGGAATATGTGCGAAAAGTGGGAATCCGCGTGTATCAAAAAGTCAATATAGATAGTTATATCGGTATGTATACCTGGCAGACGGCACGAAAAGATACATATTTTCTCGCGAGGACCAGGCGAAGCAGGCCCTTATTAAATAACTCTCTGCCACTTGGTGCCTCGTCTTCAGCACCCTCCGTCCTCCTATCAGCTGGGATTCACGAGTTTCGCAAAAACCAGGCCATGCTGATCAGTGATCAGTGACTGGCTTGGACACCAGGCCCAGCAAACGCCCCATGCGGGTCATGCCACTTAATCTGCCATTTTGCGGTGGGATCTTCAGATCGTGTTGTCTCTTGACGATTCGTCCGCAGTTGCCAGTTGCGCAGCATGGAATGGATGGAACATCCTAGTTTAGTGAGGGGGAGTGCGGGAGGAGTTCGTGATTCTTGATTCTCCCTCCGCAGCAAGCCAGCGAAATATGGTGTTATGATTGGAACAAGTCCTCAAGTTCCCCTCTCGTGTTTGGCCTGCAGATTGCGAAAAGCAGACAGGGCTCAGGCACGCTAAAGCTTAGTTAATTGGTTTAGGGCGGTTTCATAATTTATGCTTACTTTCCCGGCATTTTCGAGAGGAATCAGAAGATTGTGATTCTGGATTCTGAGAGCAGAAAGAAGCGCTCTGATACACCACTCAGGCACGTTATTTAGCTAATACTACTCTTTTCACCCTAGATAGAGGGCATAATCTCATGCAACGCTACCATTTCTGAGGCGGGAAAAAAGGAAAACAACGGTTCGATGGAACATGCTCCACCCACTCCTCTGGCTCAGCCAAAAAGTCATCTCCCCCAAACATCGCGGACGGAATACAATGCTGCCGCTAACAATCTTTCGCTCCATGAAGAGAGCTACAAGATACATATCCAAACAGGCAGCCAGATGGTTTCCTCAGCAGGTTCTTTCAACTCACTCCTACGATGCCCGTGGTCCAGCAAGCATGTTGTTCGCACGACTTGTGTACTAACTGAAAATGGGTTATGGCCCATGATGATGGTACCTCATCGACAATGAATTGACCCGATGGGCATACATACCTTCATTCTCTTTTCCTTGAGATATCTGACCTCCAGTCCAGTTCACTTCTGAAATAGCCAATGCGTGCCAATATTTCACATGTTCCCGGCACCGCCCTCACTGATAATGAGGCCACAGCTCTGCAACTAGCACAAATGGCTAGAAACTCACTCGAACTACCCGCTATTGGCAGGTTTGTGTCCCAAGTATTGAGTACCTAAGTAGCAGGGCTCCCATTTGCTCTTCGAGCTGCAGCTTGCTTTGATATCGATTGAGCCAGCCTTTGGGCGCATCCGTATAGCACTTACATCCGTACCAAGCAGGCAGTCAGCGTATCTCCATAGATACTCCTTCTTGCACACAAATATACCTTAAAGCTCTATTATGTACTGCTTAGTCTGAGGGTTTTCGCAAACATATAATTTCAAATCCAATTTCGGCCTTTGCCCGCCCATTTTCTATCCAGGGGGGAAGATATAGACGTTGCATTTATCATCTGCCTAGAAGCGGTTAATTACACCGATGACTGAAGATTTCATCACCTCATGTGTCACAAACGTTCCACTTCTCGTTGAGAATCGATCCCTTGCATCGATCCGCAGATCAAGAACGGGGGAGGTTGGTACGAATATTGAGTTAGCGCACCTTTATATTTTAGGAAAAGCAAGAACAAACGGCCTTCCAAAAATGATGTCCCGTATCCGGGGCATCTGATTGGATTCCACTTCGTATACTCCGTTCCCACCTGTCAAAAAGCGGCTGTGCTACGGCTCAACGGCGATTTTCTCGAAACCACCTCGTATTTCGCTGAGTTACACTTGCACAACGTAGGCCCGAGTTCTGGCTGGGTGCGCAATCCCCTGTCCGCATTAGTGAGGTATTTGTTTCAGGCGAGTTCATTGGTTTGTCAAGTTTTTTGTTTCAGGAACAAGGAGCTGATCTCGAGTCAGAATCATGTGGCGTTTGTGAGAGGGGAGTGCGGGGGATTTTTATTTTATTTTCTGCAGGGCGATGGGCGGAGATTGCGCGTTATTAGCTTAACTGCTACTGTCCGAGCAAAGGGTTATAGCAAAGGTATCGTTGCAATTCTCATCGTATCCTGGTGGAAGTCACATGCTAATGAAAGTCATAGATGGTGGATATCTGAACAACCGAGGATCAAGAAAAGAGTTGGCGCTAGGGCGGCATAACATTGGAATCTTTGTTCTAAGCTTTTCGCTCTGATTGAGCGTGTGAACAATGCCAACACAATAATCGGAAGTCAAAATGCGGGCTGGGAATTGTCAACAGAAGGACAAGCAATGGCCCCTGTCTAACTAAAAGAAAAACAAATCTATTTGTCACGCTTATAGATTTTGGCAAGGAAAGATTCGAAAACGGCCTTCTTCAGACCCTCTGATTCGTCAAGCTTCGCGATCATGCCCCGGATCTTGCCAACCTGTTCCTCCTCGAAGTCACGATAGACTTGCTGCAGGTTAAGCTCGTTGAAAACAATTTTAACCTTAGCCTCCATGGCCGCGTCCTTTCGACCATACGACTCGTCGAGAACTTTACGCTGCTCCGCAGAGCACCGCTTCAAGGCCTGGTTGACCACCCAGGAGCACTTGTTATCCTGGATATCAGTGCCAATCTTGCCGATCTGCTCCGGTTTGCCGAACACGTCCAGATAATCGTCCTGGGCCTGGAAGTACTGGCCAAGCGGGATAAGGATATCGTGCGCCTGGCGCAAATTGGACGGTGTTGCGAGCTGGAGGTAGTGTAGCGCAAGCACAACGGGTAGGTAGAAGCTATAGTACGCGGTCTTGTAGATGACGATAAAGTTGAATTTATCCATACTGAAGTTGTTGAGGTCCACATTGTCTTCAGGGGCGGTGAGCAGGTCGCAGAGCTGGCCCAGCTCGGTTTGGAAGGTGACTTCGTGGAATAGTTCCAGGAAGTCAACGTATGCGGGGTGCGAGCGGAAGTGCTTCTTGAGGAGGACATAGATGGCGGCTTCGAGCATGAAAGCGTCGTTGATGGCGATCATGCCGACGTTTGGGCGGCGGTACCAGCATGGCTCACCGCGTCGGGTGATAGAGCTGTCCATCATATCGTCGGAAACGAGGAAGAAGGCCTGGAGAAACTCTGTCATCCAGCCAAGGGTGCAGAGATGCTTGAATTGTTCATCGTTCAGGGGTTTTTCGAGCAGAGCGAGGCCAGTATCTGGAACGGAGAGGCCGCGATTCAGTTTCCCGCCAGGGGTATTCGCATTCATAGACTATTTTTTTTTTTAGTGTTGGGTAGAATGGTTAGTGAGCATTTCAAAGCTAGTAACATATAAGAAAAAGAAAAAAAAAAAAGGGTCGAAATACAAACGTTTTCAAACCATTCCCGAGCAATAGAGGGAAGTCCATACTGGTTCGCATGGTCACTGATGTCCTTGACTAGGGAGGGAAAGACAGCCTCGAAGGCTGCACGGTCAGTTCGAGCGGCCATGGAATTCGATATTATTGTTTCCCCGAGGAAGATATAGTGGTCGCGACTCAGAATAAAAAATGAGGTGTCTAATTTGGAGATCAATGGCAGGTATTCATGGGTGGGGTGGTTGTTGGGGGGAGTCTTTCTTTGATCTAGAAGTGATGTACCAGTTCAGCGGGGTGACTTTCGCGGGCTGTTTGCGCTGTTTGCACTTCAACAGCACGTGATATCAGGTATCTTCAAATGATGTTACTCCGTAAACAAACGACATTCAACTTGAAGGAGTATATTCAACAGCCAGGCAGCTGATCTGTAGCAGTGGCTTGCAAGTGGTATACTCCATGACGATGATCCCATAATAATACGTGGTGTCCTGGTCCTCTCCAGCTCAAAACTAACCCATAACTAGCCCTGAGCTCCCAACTGCGCGTCCTGCGCATGGAGGAGTCCCCGCATACAGGGCTTTCTAAACCGCGGCGTATACCTATGGAGCTGTTTTCTGTTAACATCTATGAAACCTAGGATTAGGTGTAGCAAGGTTTAGCAATGGTAGCCAATATCAACTCTGATAGCTTGAGAGAGCTCCGGTACCGCCTTGAAGATGCCGCGATTAAATGCTCCGAGCGGTGTCTATACCAGTCCGCCAAATGGTATGCTAGAATTCTCTACCTTAAATAACACCATAGTCGCTCATACTGATCTTTTTTTACCGCTTCAATTAGGGCTGCGGAGATGCTTGACTCCTTAGTTTCTTTCGAAGATATCGATGACGGCGCAGATACTGATCCCGACTCTCTAATGGAGATACCTCCTCTCTCACCACCCAACCCATTTCTACAAACACAAGACCCCGAGGAAGCCGCCTTGGAAGCTCGGGAGGCTAGCAAATATATCCTTGCTAAATCGTACTTCGACACACGGGAATACGACCGGTGTTCTGCAGTTTTTTTACCCCCTTCGACCTCGGCCATCCCACATGCTCCCGTCTCTGCAAACAAAAAATCCAAAGCCCCAGTTACCCCCCAAAAATCAAAGGGAAAATCTGCTTCTTTTGGAGGATCAACTAGCCATGCTACGCCTCAGAACCCCTTTCCACGATTAAGCCAAAAGTCACTGTTTTTGGCTCTGTACGCTAAGTATCTAGCCGGAGAGAAACGGAAGGACGAAGAAACGGAAATGGTCTTGGGCCCAGCAGATGGAGGCATGACCGTAAACAGAGAACTTTCTGGCTTGGCGCAACGTCTCGAGTCATGGTTCTCCGATCGGAAGGCAAGGGGCTTGGAGGGACAAGGACACGGCTGGCTGGAATACTTATATGGAGTTATCTTGCTGAAGGGGAAAAACGAGGAAGAGGCCAAAACGTGGCTGATTAGGAGCGTCCATCTATATCCCTTTCATTGGGGAGCCTGGCAAGAATTAAATGACCTCCTTGCCAATACCGAAGATGTAAGTGTATCCTATTCTCCATTGATCACCATATCGACTGAAACTAACAATGGTTTTAACTCTAGTTGAAACGGATTGCTGACCAGCTCCCTCAAAATATAATGACCCTTATATTCCACCTCTATTGTAGCCAGGAGCTTTATCAGGCTACAGAAGATACACACCACATGCTGACGGAGCTCGAGAATATATTCCCCAACAGCGCATTCCTTAAAACCCAAAGAGCTCTGCTGTTTTATCACTCGAAAGGTACCCAGCCCTGACATTCTTCCGTCTCATTATCCCTTTTTAACTCAACGTGTTCCGACAGATTTCGAGGAAGCGTCTGACCTTTTCTCTCAACTCTTAATCACCAATCCTCACCGTCTTGACAGCCTCGATCATTACTCCAACATCCTTTATGTCATGGGTGCGCGACCTCAACTTGCCTTCGTAGCCCAAATAGCGACTGCTACGGATAAATTTCGCCCAGAAACTTGCTGCGTGGTAGGCAACTATTACTCTCTCAAATCCGAACACGAAAAAGCGGTTATGTATTTCCGGCGCGCCCTAACGCTAGACCGCAACTTCTTGTCCGCCTGGACCCTAATGGGACACGAATATATCGAAATGAAAAACACTCACGCCGCTATCGAATCTTATCGACGCGCTGTCGACGTTAACCGAAAGGACTATCGCGCCTGGTACGGCCTCGGACAAGCGTACGAGGTTCTCGATATGGCATTCTACGCCTTATTCTACTACCATCGCGCTGCTGCTCTGCGCCCTTACGACCCCAAAATGTGGCAGGCCGTCGGCTCATGTTATGCAAAAATGGGACGTACCGAACAGAGTATTCGAGCCCTTAAACGTGCTCTGGTTGCAGGATCATATTATGAAGCAGGCGGTGTTGGAGGTGTTGGCTCGTTTAATAGTGCGGGCTCAGCAAGCTCCCGGCATCCATCCCATGGGGGTGCTGCATCAAGTACAAAACGCTTCCTTGATCCGGATACATTACATCAAATTGCGACACTTTACGAACGTCTTGGTGACGAAGAGGAGGCAGCCGCATACATGGAACTTACCCTTCAGCAGGAAACGGGACAGGTGGATCCGGACGACGAGGCTGCTGATGACGACAATGACGATGACACCGATGGGGACGGTGGTGGAAGTAGAGCTGATGCACGTCGCGTTTCTTCGTTCACGCAGCGTTCTGGTGATGACGCGGATGATGAACCAACTGGTACGGGTGTCACTGCTACGACAAGTAAAGCGCGCTTATGGTTGGCACGCTACGCGCTGAAGCACGGCGACTTGGACCGGGCTGATTTATTGGCCGGTGAGCTTTGTCAGGATGGGATTGAGATTGAAGAAGCGAAGGCATTGATGAGGGATGTTAGGGCGAGGAGGGAGGGTGATGGGATTTAAACAATTAATAATGCATACCCCTCCCGTGTATTTGTATAGTCCCATGGTTTACAACATGACGTTTTATTTTTTTCTTATTATTGTAGGTGTTACTCAAGGTTTATTTCCAAAAAGGGAGGAGGGGATGGTGGTTTTTTTTTTTTTTTTTTTTTTTTTTTTTTGCAGATACCATGGTGCGAAGCTATTTATTCCAGGGGTTCTGGAAACTCCAAACGAATCGCGAATGCGGCGTGAGTTATTTTTTTTTATAGTATTATTAACTGCTATTACTATTAATTAATTATAGGCGCCGCTATCTTGACCCAATGCCAATTAATGCGAAGATCGAAATAAATGTGAAACTGCACTGCTCATTATTAATTATTCATTAAACATCGCCCATAGACGGATAAATTATAAGCGTCAGTATCACTCCCTGGCATCTCAGGGGAACGATCAAAGGTGAATGAATACCATGCCCTGGTAAGCTATACGGTGAACACAACATTAAATAGGGCAAGCGTCCTTTTGAACTACACCAACGATAATATCTCTCTCCAATCCCAACTGAGCTGAACATCAACGTCCATAGTTCGTAGCGACGGAGAACCGTTAGCCATGGCTCTTCCAGCTCCGTCCTTCTCCCCGAAGTCCGCATCAGTACTTCTGAATTTCCTCCGCTTCCGTTTCCCCTTCCGTGGGCAAGCGGTAATACCATACCCCCACTTCAAACATCCCGCAAACAACCGCTTGCCCAGCCTCTCCCACCTTTCTTGAATGTTTTCGAGGTGACCTGTTTGGTTATTTTCAAAGAAGCCGTGCTGTAAAATTGCTTCGCAGCGGAGGAAAATTATTTTCCCCTTTTGTGATGGCATGCCGCTAGCCCGCTGAGTGGTGGCAAGTGCGTTGCCAATTCGAGCAATGTCAGATGCTGCTTGCGGGGTGTTGGCTGTATTGGATTCGACGAGGACAATACCACTACATTTGGGAAATGCTTGTGTCCTTCCCAGGCTACTGGAATGGAGCATGGGTGTATCTGGGAATTTAGCATTAAGCACTCTTTCCAGGAAGTCTGCAGTGGAGGGTGTCAAGAGCTGTTTGGTGTCAAGCGGAATAGAGTCGACTTGATCATGAGATACACCAGTTCCTAGCAGGATTGGTGTTTCGGAGAGAAATAATGGACATTCAGGAACAGAGGGGATAGGTTTGCTGTCAAATATATCAGACCTCCCGACTGCGAGGTTGCTAACTTCCAAACCAACGGTCGGTTCAGGGGAACTTTGTTGTTCATGAGATGGATTTGGCCTGGACCCGTTCCGTTGTCTCAATTGAGAAAAATGATTCAACTTGTCTTCATCACGCTCTCCAAACGTCGTTGAACATTCTACTTCATTTTCAGGAATGGAGGTGTCGTTTACGTCTTCACGGTCGTCGGTGTTTATATAGGTTGGCATTGGAGTGGGTTGGGATAAGTTGGTAAGGTCTGCTAGGTGCCGATTCGCTGAGTTATCCTGGGAGTGAGACATGGGAGTGTCTGCTGAGGTTTGGGTATTATCTAAGTGTATTGCGATACACGGTGATCGCGATTTCGTGATTTTGGGCCTTTTCTTGCTCACTGCTCTGGAACCCTTTTGGGAAGCATCAAGTTCATTCATAGCCAAAGGCCCCAAGGATGTATCAGACTGCTCATTGTCCATATCATTGGGAGGGATAATCGAAGCCGGGGACAGAGACGAATGGTCCGATGAATCAATAATATAGCCTGACTTTCCATCTACCTCACCAAGTCGGTCCGCCAACCAGGCGACCTCCTGAGACAACTCATCTGTCGGGACTGAGTTTGCTGCTTCAGCCAACTCTTGCAGCTCTTTTAGTGTTGTAGCATCCTCCACATCCCGATCCATATGGATTTTAAGGACACGCGGAAAGCGTAGTGTGAAATAGTTCACTCCTGCAGGCTTCTCAAAACCACTACCGACCATCTCAACCACAAAGGGGTTCTTGAAAAGCACTTGTACTTTGGGAAGTTGCACCTGATCTGTTTTTATGGTAAATGGAGCATCGTCATCATCTACATCACAGCTGCAAAACTGGCCGGATTGATTAAGCGTTCGTATAAATTCAGTGTTCACATTGTGTCGATTGAGGAGGTCCACGACGCGAAATATCGGCCGCGCATCGTAGGGATTTTTTGAACTGCCATCGCGGCATCCCACGAAGAATGATGTCCATTTAACACCTTTAATAGCCCGGAGATGAGCAGCTTCACGAGCGTCATATCTTGCTCCTATCAGGGCGAAATCTGCGGTATCCCCTATCCCTGGAATATAGTCCTTTTTCATTTTAATCCAATGTCCTAAGCTAGAGTCCTCTTGCTGCCCAATATTGAAGTATGGTTCTTCGCTTGATTTTAGAACAAGTCCTTCCCAACGTTGCGATATGGCTGTGGCGAAAGAGTTTCTCAAGATCTCCTGACTGTTTGACAACGAGAAGTTGATATACTCCTGTTCCGCAATCCCAGCACGCCCATCAATAGGGTGAGAAATTTTCCTCAGTAATTCCCTGCGTTCCTTATATGACTTTAGTAAACAAACTTGATCGTCCATCAATAATACATCAAAAAGCATGATATATAGATGCTCATAGAAATGTACCCTAGTCCTTTATTAGCTATGGCACGAAATAAAATTCTTTCCAAGATCATATACATACGGCGAGTCATTTTCAGTACCAATGAATGAACCAGATCTCTTGACATGCTTCCGAAGCTTATGAAAGGGCAACAGTTTTGATTCCCTGTCACTCCAGACAAGAAGTTCTCCTTCTAAAATGCAGTTCTTAGATATTTTGCAGCCGGACTTTCCAATTCTTAAGCACTCATTCACAGTAGAATGAATACCGCTTCTGTCTGCAGTTGAGTCTTTCCCACTTTTCGAAAAGATCCGTATACAGCCCGAGTCTTTGGAAAGGTCAATATGTATCTGACAGTACTCTCCATCATATTTCCGTTCGACGCTCATTGTGCGTTTCCCTACCATCTTGCAGCAATGTTTAATGCTCCTGGCTTTATAAAACATTGCCCTTCCAACTTTCACTCCAATGGTAAGAGATATATGAGAAGACGCGAAAGAAGCCAGAAGTTTAGCATAGGTAGGATCTGGACGCCAAGGAAATCTTTTGATCGGATCACGGCTCAGCAAGTCCACGGCTGCTCTCAATGAATCCTGTAATAGAAGTAGATCGGGAAGGAGGAAATGAAAACTCCGAAGGACCAAACGAGCCGGCAGGGTTAAAGGGCTGAGATCTTTCAAAATGATCCTAGTAAACCACTTCGCATCGCGGCTTGTTAGGCGTCGTAAAATTGGTCCAAGTGCCTCATCCACGCTGGTAGCACTTCGCTGTCTCCTCACGTCTGGGCTAGAGAACCGACATCTCGACGCAATATCACTCAAGACAGCATCGACTTCTTCAACAGTTACTCCAGATTCCTCGGGGTTGTTGTTCTCCGCTTGCGTCATCACATTTTCGACACACTGGCCTAGGTCACCGTTCCCGCATATTTCGTATGAATCCAGTGCTAGCCTTCGCGAAGTCCCAAGGAGAAGACACCTGCCAATGACCTTAACGAGGGATGGCTCCTTTAATCCAAATACTATCTCCGGCCGCCTTTCTGGTAACAAACATGACAGAAGAGCAAGGCGGTCAGTCTCTCCTCCATGGATTTGTTTCCCGTGCTGGTTAAACCAGTTGATAATGGTTGAAACGTCGGGATTTCTAACCCTCGACCCCGTTGATGCCTTTAAAGTGAGGTTCGTTTCGAGGCTCGTAAAGAGGTCGCACACGTAGGAAAATTTAAACCCCATAACACAACAGTAAATGGCTATCGCATATCTTGATAGTCGAGCCGGACACTACCACAAAGCACACATGTTGCAGTAAGCTGAGGTGGAGGCCGCATCAGACCTCATGGAAGATATCAGCAATCCTGTTTAAAAGGAACCAGAGAGAACAATCAGAGAGAACATATATGTGCTACAAGGGCAATATAAATATTAGGCTGGACAAATGAAGCGTGATATTATCGAGGGCTCAAAGTCCCGCTACTACAGAAAGGGGCGAGGAGACGTGCGTGTTGGCGCGAACACGAAAGATTCCCCAAGTCACATGATAGAGAGCTCTACCCTACCCATGGTTTAAGAGTACTACGGAGTAAATCAAGAGCAAATTATTCGCCGCTAAAAAGCGCCAGAGCCCAAGAATTCGCTGTAGGGAACAGCCATTTCAGATATGAAGTGGGAACGGCATTCGTACGTGGCCAGCGCCCATAGGTTTAGCAGCAAATCCATTCTAAACGCCTAACTGTACTCCGTGGTGACCCAGCATTTCTAACCGCCAATAGTTGTTTAATAAAATACATAGATGGAAAGCTTCCGTTACAAGATACCTTGCTTCTGAAGACTGTTTTATACATCGTTAGCACATTGTCAAGTACACAGAGAAGAGCAGGCGGTATACGTACTCGAGATAAATTCGCTCCGGCATCACATTGCCTTCAGCATCTTCCATCTGCACCACGTTTTCTCGAGACTCCTTCTCCTTCTTCCTATCCTGTTCAAGTTTCTCCCATAGTCTCAGCGCTTCCTCGATTTTGGTGATCTCTCGGAACAAGCTAGTTTGTTGTGTGATCCCAAGACACCTTAACCCGTAAATATGCCTCGCCTCTGAAAAGTGCTTGTCGAAAGCGCGTCGTCCCATATAGACGAAGTTCCCGCAAATTTCACACGGCAGCTCCACCCCCAAGCCGTGCAGCTTGTAGAGCCAGTAGGGAATCGGTTTTCCATCCCAAGCCAGTGGCAGCTTAAGTGGGTTGTATATCCTCTCCTCATTATCGCTGTCGGAATCAGAATCTCCGTGACGGATTCCAGGCGGCTCTGCGGTCTCCGCAAACAGAGCATCGAGCTCCATTTGTCGCTCTCTCTCCGTCATTCCTTGCTTCCGCTCCACATTGACGCGCGTGGCTTTCCTCTCTTCCTTCAAGGTTGTGGCCAACGACCGAACACGGTGTTCTCTTTCTGCGATCGCACGCTCCTTCAAGCGACGGACTGCAGCCTCGCCGCCTGTTCGCGGTGTGGTGCCGTTGGGGGTAGTCCTAGCGGACTTACGAGTCTCTGCGGCGCGAATGTGTTTCTTCCCTGTGAGATGATTTTTGTATACGTTTTCGTTCTTGAATTCTCTCTCGCAATCTGCACACCAAATCCCTTCGCCTGTTCCTTCAGTTTTAGGGACGGAGGAGCTTTCCGTTGTGGTCGCTTCGTCCTCCCACCCAGGAACCTTGCCTTCTTTCCATAACCTTTCAAACTCTTCGTCATAACCATTAAAAAGCTTATCAAGAGGTTCCAAAGGCTTAACTCGTTTTATAAAGCTCTCTAAGTACGCAGCAAGATCACCGACATATTGGAAATACTTGTCCGTGAGCTTACCGTTTCGCTTGATGGGTAGCTGGGGTTGTGTGAACGCGTCGAATAGATCAAGGTACTGTAGGTATGTGAGCCGTTTCACACCCGGCAGATTTAGGTAGTCCTCATGGAGTTTAGTGAGGTCGAAAAACTGGCCATACGATTCTTCTCCGGTAAACATATTTTCCACTTCCATTCCAAATCCTTCACTCTCACCGGGGTGCCTTCTCTTGTACGCTCGCTCGAGATTCTCGACATGCTCATTAGGATATCGACGGTGAAAATCTTTTATTTCGTCTAAGCGTTTGTAGAATTCATCGAAGGGTTCACCGGTTGAGATGGCCTGTACCTCCTTTGCTCTCAGACCTTCCGCATCTCTGTAAATATCCAGGAGCCTTTCCGATTGTTGCTGGATACGATTAAGAAAGCCTGCAATCTGATGGTCTCGGTTTAACCGGTCTCTAATCTGCAGTGAGTTAGTTAAAATAGCTGCGCGAAATGAGGAACGGAGGGCAGAGGGCATGCATACATTACGCGGCTCATCTGCTACCCGATCACTAATCCCCTGCTCAAGTCTCTCTAGATCTTCGTGAATAAATCGCTGATCTTCTATCAACATTCTTGCGATGGTTCGGCTGTATCTTTACTTCCCGTGTTGGTCTCTAAAAATTTATACGTTCCCGCGCAAACGGGTAATTGCGATTGTATATGTATGCTTCGACGTCAAGGATGGCAAAAAGCAGCTGTTGATCACGTGATCCATCAAACAAAGCAAACACACAACTCTATTCGGCCCTGTTCAAGTTTTGCATCGAAGAACCACCAATCCAAACGGCATCAAACGGAAAATCATTGACCATTTGTGTATATTATTCCAACTCGCCGATCAAATACTTAACTACTCATTATGGCGGACGGAATTGATAGAACGGCGGAGGGTACGTATTTCCACCCATATTTCTTTTTCAGCTCCGCGCTAACAGCTGCGACAGAGAGGATGGAGTTCACGACCTCAAAAGAGGTGACTGTCGCGCCAACCTTTGAGGACATGCACTTGAAGGAAAACCTCTTGCGGGGTATCTATGCATACGGATACGAATCGCCATCAGCCGTACAGTCTCGCGCAATCGTCCAAATCTGCAAGGGCCGCGATACCATCGCGCAGGCACAGTCAGGCACCGGTAAAACTGCGACATTCTCAATCAGCATTCTACAAGTTATCGATACAGTTCTGAGGGAAACTCAAGGTTAGTTCATTTCTTCCTCGCTGTTTAGCCCTTTTTTAATAGGTTTGTATATGTATATAGCTCTTGTCTTATCGCCAACGCGAGAGCTTGCAACCCAAATTCAGTCCGTGGTTATGGCCCTGGGTGACTACATGAATGTACAATGCCACGCGTGTATCGGTGGCACCAACGTTGGTGAGGATATACGGAAGCTGGATCATGGTCAGCATGTGGTTTCGGGTACCCCCGGCCGTGTTGCTGATATGATCCGCCGTCGCCACCTCCGCACACGTCATATCAAAATGCTAGTACTTGACGAAGCCGACGAACTCCTCAACCGCGGATTCCGCGAACAGATCTATGATGTTTACCGTTACCTTCCTCCTGCCACGCAAGTTGTGGTCGTTTCCGCAACCCTCCCCTACGACGTTCTTGACATGACCACCAAATTCATGACTGACCCAGTGCGTATTCTGGTAAAGCGTGACGAGTTGACACTAGAAGGACTCAAACAATACTTCATTGCGGTGGAGAAAGAAGAATGGAAATTTGATACCCTTTGCGACCTCTACGATACCCTTACGATCACCCAGGCCGTTATTTTCTGCAACACGCGACGCAAGGTAGACTGGCTTACGGATAAGATGCGTGAAGCCAACTTTACCGTCTCCAGTATGCATGGCGAAATGCCGCAAAAGGAACGTGATAGTATTATGCAGGACTTCCGACAAGGAAACTCCCGTGTTCTTATCTCCACGGACGTCTGGGCTCGTGGTATCGATGTGCAGCAGGTGTCTCTAGTCATCAATTATGACCTCCCTAGCAATCGTGAGAACTACATCCACAGAATTGGTCGAAGTGGCCGCTTCGGACGGAAGGGTGTTGCTATCAACTTCGTCACCAGTGAGGACGTCAGAATCCTAAGAGATATCGAATTGTACTACTCTACCCAGATCGATGAGATGCCAATGAATGGTACGTCTTTTTGCCTCTTTTTGCGCGCCGATGTTGCATTTCCCCCCCCTGTGACTAACATGCTTCAATAGTTGCCGACCTTCTCACGTAATTGCGCCTTCGGATGGAGCAGAAATTGTAACGCATTCATTTTCTCTTCTCCTTTTCTCATCGCAATTTGCGAATGCGAGGCATTCGATTCTATTTTCCCCCTTTGGGTCCAAGATGGGTTGACTCACAGCTCATTTGTTCACGCTGCATTAAATGTCATGAGAGGCGAGTGACTGAAGGCCAGTGGGACTTGTGGAGGAAATGGGATATATTTTAAATTGGTGTGTTCAGACGCTCTCTTGTCCTATCCATATGCCTAACGCGATCTGTTTGCTCTATGAAATCGAAAGCTGACGTTTCACTCCCCCATAATCTATTTATCAGAGATACACTAGTTTTTTTTCGGCGAAATTAACTCTCCAGGGCCCCGGTCGATTACCGTTGATGACATCCTATCCGAGTCCTTGATCCTTTCGACCTTTCGATTTCTCACTTCTCTCAAGCTCTAATATGCAGTCTGAGACCTCTTTAAATATGCTAAGAATGAACCAGTGTCACGCTTTCCTTATTACGGGGGCTATCCGCGATCAAAATTAGGGGACGCAACCTTTTTTTCCCATTCATCAAATGCCATATCATTCCAATGATTTCTGCTACGGGGCAAGATATAACGTCAGTTAGGGTACCTACCGCGTATACGGATTAGGTAGTTAGCAAAAACAAAAGGATTCAGAACTTGACTTCGTTTATAAACTTACACCCAATTTCTCTCTCTCCTCTCTAAAACAATAGCCGAAGTGTTGCCAAGGCGGAGTAAATGGCGCGGCCCGCTCTCCCTCCCGTCTACTCGCAGTAGCCCCGGCTCCTAAAGCATGCTCCCCTACACACAGGTAAATCCTGTAGTTTGCCAAGAACCACTTCTGCGTCGAATAATCAGTGAGATGAGTTTTTCTGGTTTCATCATTCGAAACCTTGATTGACATGGTCCCTACATCTTATGTAACGTCAGCTTGGAGGGTGGAGCAGACACACCAAATGGTGTAGTCAGCTGCTTCAGTCATGACTATTGCATAAATTGTGATCTCATAGATAAGGTAGTGAGTGAGTGAGTGGTTCCTCAATCTCTGACTACCAGCAAGAAGGAAATGGAAACGCCCAGCTCTAAATTCATCAGCAAATAGCAACTACTACTATATGATAACCAACGAAACAGGAGCCTAAGGTCGGAAAAATTCAGGTGTTTGATATAACTGCGATTCTTCCCACATAACTACACATTGCAATGATGAGAACATGCATACAGTAATATATAACCCATCATTCCCCCCCATAAATACCCATCCAGCAACATAAGTATCCGATATTTAATAATATATAATTAATCTATCTTAAATAAAAAAATCACATATCATCCTACATCACACTCCTGTACGGCTCCCTACATGTTAAATCACCGCTGGCCTTAAAAAAAATTCATAACCCGCGATTATTAAATTCAGCCAGTCCCATAGTTACTTCCAGCTCCCAACTTCCAAGTTCCAACCAAACCCTCCTGTCAACTCCAATGAAGCAAATAAAATCAGAGCCCACACGGGTAGGGAGAACGAAGTGATGGGAGGGGTATGGAATAAATAGTAAAGCGATGGAGGTAGAGAGTTCAGAACGTGCCAACGAACAATAAATATAAAAAGATATGAAAATGGAAGCAGAGGCAGGTTCGCGAAATGTAGGATGGAGCTGACCAAACGTACATACATACGTGACAAAAATGCAGGAGAATCGACGGGTGCAAATTATTAAGAAGGAGAGAGAGGGGGGGGGCACAAAAACAAAAACAAAATAGTAAACCGGGAGCCAGGGTAGCCAGGGAATCAGAGAAACAAAAGATGAAAAATCCAACTAACCAATTATTAGTAAAATATAGGAAAAAAGTCACATCCTGCTCCTGTTCCCACTCCCACCTTAATCATGCACCAGTGATGCAACAGAAACTCAACCTTTGCCTGACAAGATATAAATGCCACCAAGTCAAAAGATAAAAGGCCAACGTCAAAATCTGCATCCATGAATGCCAAACTAGTGAATGAGAATGGGGAAAGAAAAAGGGTGGTATGTTGAAATCTGGGGTCGTGGAAATATGAATAAATAAAGTCATCAGGAGTTTGGAAAAATGATGAGAGACATAAAGAAAGGGATGGAATCAGGATGGAACAGGGGTGAACATGGAAATGGTATGAGAAGAAATAGAAAATGAAATGAAGAGTAAGAATGAGTATAACTATCAGATTTAGAATTTGTTAACAAAAGCAGAGGGAAGGCAAAAGGAATTTCTTATATATGTAGATAACCTCCTACTGAATGCTGTGTATATGTTTCTGGTGATCTGTGAGGGGTGGGTGATGAGCTGTGGATCAAGTGTGTCTGTGTATCTGTATGCAGGCGTGCGCTTGGACAGGATTTCATCTTCAAAATAGACTCGACTTTTTTATGTTTGTATGTTTTTGGACCCAGTTGTGGGAATTCTGTACGCCATGCATGGTAGATGTAGGGTGGATGGAGAAAAGGATAAGTAAATAATTGCAATTCATACAAAACTAGGTAGGGGGCCAATATATAGATGTCGATGAGTTTGAGGGGAATTGCCATATTGAGTTCGCCATGCAAAAGGCGGGTGGGGTGGACGGGTGTATTCTAGCATCATGGAAATGGGATGGTGTGGTCATGTATGTACGGATGATGTTGAAATTAGGCTGGATTCATGAGAGCCGGAACCACTACTTTATCCCGGACATTCAGGACGGGTTTGCAAAAGTGCATCACGATTTAACCAACTAGCTCAAAAGTTCGGAGATCGATTGAATGTAGACCGTAGCGCGCTTGTCCGTGCCGAACCGTTCGATGGCGGCATCCGTGATTTCCCAGAAACGGGTGTGCGGGTTGGCGGATCTCGTGTCCATCTAGTAGTAGAACGGCGTGGGTCAGCAGTGTTTTCATCCACATAGGGTGTGTTTTTGATATAGAACTCACATTCGAACTTTTCGGTCATCCCCTGCCGATGCGAACATTCCCGGGTCCTTTGGATTCCATGATACGGCGTTGACGCAGCCTACGCCGTGTCCCTGAAGCGTTGCAACCAGTGTGCAATTCTCCTTGTGCCAGATGTGGATCTTGGAATCTATACGATGTGATGGTTTCAGTATCGCGGAAAACAATTCGGGGCCATGGACAAAAAGATTTTCAGCCGTACCTTCACTACCACTCACGACAAAATTCTCCGCGGCGCCACCAAAACTATTTCTAATAATATATTCATCATTTCCTTGCTGCTTCTGTCCTACATACTGCCGAGCAACTTCCCTTGTTTCGATGTCTAACAACTGCATTTCACATTCGGACGTATTTAGCAACATGTATCTAGAATCTCGGCTGATATTGATGCAGGTGAGGTCAAGCTTGATAGACATGCTATATTCCTCGGCACGAGTTTCGAAGTTATAGACGTAAATCTTTTTCTCCGTGGATATGGCGATGAGTCGACGGCCGTCGGGAGATATGGAACAGTCTCGAACTCTATATTGGCCGGACCACTTGTAAAGGGATTCGCCAGCCACACTCCAATGGCAGAGTTGGGATTGGCGATCGAGAGAGCCAGTGACAAATGAGTCACCATTTGGAGCCCATGCGGCAGAGGTTACTGGTTCATTATGGTGATCGATGGTGAGGATACACCGTCCAGTCTGGAGTTTATACAGTTAGTGCCAATGACCCTGTCTGAAAGTAGAGAGGGGCTAAGCATACTTCCACATCCCATAGCCGAGCTTTGTAATCTTGAGAGCAGCTAATGAGCTTAGAATCATCAGGACTCCATGTTGCATATGCAACGGGGCCACCATGATCAGTTAGTCTATGGATGACGCTGAAAGTGGGAACATCGTATATAATCACGATGTTTTCACGGCCTGTTGTTGCTAGTTTGGTACCATCACGAGAAAATTCAAGGTACCAGACCTCGTCCGTATGTTCACTGAGTTCGAGGGATGTTCGTAGAGGGAATTGGGATCGATCGCACTGGTGATCTGAATAAAGCGAGGGGGATTCAGCCGTGTTGTGATATAGACATTGGTTGATCTGATTCTGTTTAACGTAGTCCAGTAAAACTGCTAATCTGTGATCGGGAATCATAACAGCTGGAGATATAGATCCTAGAATTAAGACAATTAGGATCAATATTAGGGTAGAAATTTTTTATTAACGTTACTCTGAAGAAACTCACTTGATAGCTCTCCCAATAGCCTCTGTCGTGATTGTAGTACTGAACCATCCCAACCCGCTTGCGCTCGTAAATTTTCTGCAGGGCACATCAATAGACTAGTATAGAAGTTAGATAAATAACATCCACTAATTAGTTTATTTCAAAGTGTCACTTACCTGGAAAGGGCATGTAGCTGTGCGATATCATGGTTTAACGGTGTCAGTTCCTGCCGGAGTACCATCAACGCCGTTGCAAGATCCCGTTGCTCTAATAATTCAAGGAATTTCTGCTGTCTGAGACAGAAGAGCATCTCATTTCTATCCGCCCCTTCTGCTAAAACGAGAGTGCCAAGATCGGTGTCGGTCCCACGGTCAATGGTATTTCCTCCACCTGCATCTGTCCCATTTCCCCCTCTATCCGGATAATATGAACCCAGCAAAATATCCTCTGCATCCGCCCACCGCCCATCAAGTACTGCTGACCGGAACGAAGCTACAGCGGGGCTCTCGAGTTCATATCCGGATTCCCGGCTTAATGTAGACGCAGCCTCGTTATATCCCAGATCATGCAAACTCTGAATCAGAATCCTCGTCACCTCCTCCCGATCATGGCCAAAGTATGTAGGTGAGATGGAAGCCGGCGACTTGCCAGAACCGTTTGCCTGGGGCTGGCCGTTAGGACTGGAATGCGAAGATCTGCCGTTAACCGAGTTGGAAACAGGGGCTTTTCGTAGTGGAGAAGAGGTCGAGCCATTCGATATGGGGGAGAACCCGTTTGTGTTTGAAGTTGAAGCTCCGCCGTCGGGACGCATGTTGCTACCAGCCAGGCGCCTGCGCTTGGGAGAAGGAGGAATGTCGTCTCTGTTGCGAACCCTACCTTGCTCTTCAAGCAACTGTCTGGGCGTACCAGGATTTCCAGACCTCGACCCGGCCCTCTCAGATTGATCAGATTGATCAGGAGGAGTTCGTTCCCGACGACGGCGGCGGTTGATTAGGCGCGATCCAAGCCCAATAGTGTCACTACGGTCGGTATGTAAACCTAAGCCTGGAAGCCTTGGGGGCAGTTCGTTGCTTTGAAGGGATAGGGAAATATTCTCGTGAGTGATCTGGGCGTTAGATGGGGTCGAGGAATGGTTTGTGACGGAACCAGTAGGAGTAGAACTAGTAGTCGTAGTAGTAGCGGTGGTAGGTACGGATTCGAGGTTTGTAGTAAGGTTCGAGGGGCCGGGGGAGGCTGAGGCGGGAGTATGTGAAGGAGATTCGTCTGCCAGATCGAAGTTTGTTATTTAGCCCCTTCAGTCTGGCTCTATACAGAACCAGCTGAATAGGCCTATATGGTGAAAGGAAGCGTAAAGCGCTTTGCAACCAGATTTGAAGCTCTGGAGCTGGCTAAACGCCACAAGCTTTTCTCAACCTATAGATTTTGTGGTGATGCTAAATTTGTTGTACCCAGTGAAACAGTATGTTGATTGGTTTGCCTTGGGTTGTTCTGGTATGAGCTCTGTCTTACGTCTGCAAAGGTGCAGCGGGCGGTTAGACGGTTGAAGTTGAGAAGAACGATAAATGACCAGAGAGAAGTAGGATGAGGTAATAGGCGTACCAGCGACTCGGAAGAACCGTGAAGGAACCCCAGGAACAACAACTGATTTGCAATCTTGAGCACGTTGGGGGGTGGAAGTGGAATTTTAGTCGATGGATGGCTGTGTAGGAGGTTGGCAAGACCAGCTGGAATATTGCTGTGCTGTCGTTGTCGTCGTGGGATGTGTTTTTGCCGATATCTGGAAAGCGAGGAACAAAGTCATGCAAGAGCGACAAGAAGTAGGTTGCTAACTGGTGGGATCAGCCTAGACTGGAGGTCCCGTCAGAAACAGCTGGACAACAGCCACTCATAAGAACCAGAGCAGGAGTCTCTGCTCGAGAGTAGTAACAGTTACAGGCTTGCAGAATGAAGATGCAGAGACGAAGTAGATGAAGCTGGGATAATTATTATTAATAGCTGGATGTCGTTTGACTGTAAGCACATGATGAGGATGTAACTGTACGGTACCATAACTGTACCTAGGTATGCTTTATAGGTTTTGTGTATTTCCTGTATTCGGAGCATGTATGTTTCATGTACTGCAATGTCTGCAGCAGAGTTTAACACTGCCAGATCACAATATCATATCAGACAGACTGACTACAAACAGCAAATTACGGAAGTACAAGGAGTGGAGGTATTATTGCTATGCAGTAGGGCCTGTCAGTGACGTAATATTACATTACACCCTCGCATCGTCGTTCAATCGTACCGTACATACGTACAACTGTATGTCATTTTTTACATTTCTCTTATTCTCTGCGTGATACTTCCGACAATATAAAATCAATAACATTAGAGATAAAGTTAAAAAAAAAGATATTTGCTGTATAGAGTATTAAAGCTCTGTTGTTTCCTTTCACAGTTACCTCTATTTGGTTTTACCATATTCCGTCCCCACGGCAGATACCAGTCACAGGATATGTCTCTTATCACCCACCCAAGCTTGAGGATCCTGTCCATATATTCTGAGCATGGAAAGAAATAAGGCATGGTCAATTTAATTTATAGTTCTGAGGGTATTTGTAACTTTTGTACCCCAGCATACCATACATGCCCCAGGGATTTGTGACTTGTTTCAAGTCTAGGCAACTTCGAAACAAACTGATGGGGCAAGGACATTGGGAGTCATTCTCTGCAATGGCTCAAGGGGCGATACTTCTAATCGTCATCCTCCCCTCAGCCCAGCACCCCAACGACTCCGCTCTCCTACTCCTCCCCTCTTGTCGTGTCACTCGGTCCGTCCCTTGACAGCCAAAGACTTGTTGTTCACGCGGGACTAGCAGTAGGGCAGGGAAGCTTGACACGGCGTGGCACTTTCCGAGGGTAGCTCCACAGCCTGGCCTCAGGTGAGTTGGTCGGTTAACACGCATACTTACGCATAGTAGTTACCTGTCCCTCGTTGTAGAACTAAAAGACTCAACGCAGTGAGATCAAGGACCAAATTCATGCTTTAGATAACTGTAAGACCTGCAGGTAAGCCCAAAACGAGAAGATAATGTGGCATATACCTGCCCAGTACTCCGTAGTGTTTCTCGTTTGATGTGGCGGCACCTGGTGATAAAAGTCCCTAGCTCCCTGTTGAATGGCTAGTTAGTTAAACCTGGCTAAAAACCTAGCGTATCTTGCCCTTATCATGTGGTCAGGGGAGAGTCTTGGGGAATTAGTTAGTGCCTGCCTCTGTGTTTCTGTATCTGTTAGGCGCTAGAACCCTTTGCAGATATCGGCGGCGCGGGGACAGTGACGATATATCACTTAGAGGGGGTTGCTTTGCACGCTTCAGTTGTGTATAAACTGCCAGCTATCTACGAATATAATAATATAGTAATATATGTGGAACTTTCCCTTCAACTTAAAGTAATGGTCTCAAAAGGAACTCTTCCGTTACCCGAAACCCATCATCGAGGCGGCTTAAATATAACTATGTAACACCGCATAGACTACCAGATTCAGAACATTGAATCCCTCTCACCCATCTCACCTTCAGCAGCATATAATTTTTCATGTACTAGATTCACCTCTGGCTGTAAATTGCCTGTCAGCATATCCTGTTGGATGATAATCCGGGGGTGAATGAAGATTAAATATCACGAGAATAAACAATGAATACATTAACCGTCCCACGGTAGTTATCTCCCACCAGTTTTCGTCGTGAGCTCGTCGTGAGCTCGTCGTTGGTGGCATTTGGCTTCAATCAACCTACCCAAACATTCATTTGGGCTGTCCGCATTCGTTAACCACAGGCAGTGGACTAGCCCCTGAGTTTGCAAATTCGATGTGCGAGTTTGACCCCTTCCAGCTTCAAGATTCATTCTCTCCTGTTCCGTTTTCACCTCAGCCATTTTTCGAATAAGACCATTTCAAGCCAGGTTAAGCTCGCAGAAGGGTTTTCCCAGGCTGACTGGGTTGAAGAGCAATCTCCTCCTGAGTCATTTGAGTACGAAACAGGCAGTTACCCGGGATTGTAAATCAACCAAACCCGCGAAACCCAGCTGTGCAGCATGTGTTAAAAGTCCCATTGGTGAAGTGGGGACCTTCAATTGTTTGATTGTCAGAGTGGTGTTCACCTGCAAGGTCTGTGACGTTGATGCTATGCTCAGTCAATACAACTTCCAGGATGCATGATGGACATGTGCAGGCAGTGCAGGAAGAAAATTTTTGTAACAAGAATCCTCACATTAAGAATTCTTTCATCTTCTCATGATAGCTCTTCCTGCCTTTTCTGAAGCAGTTTATAAGGGACGAGACGAGACAAGTACAGATGTAGGTGAACCATGTAAGATGCAGAGTAGTTAGAGCCAAGGGCTTTGAGGCTTGCTGACTAAATACGCTAGTCCCAAATAAGAACTTACCTGTTTGTTTCAGTTCCGAGATGAAAAACATTGCAATGAATATTTGAATCATTTTAAAGATTCTGTAAATTATGGATATGTCAGCCCTTTCACTTAGATTTTGATATCGAAAGGGAAAGCGGGGGACTGAAAAAGCTGCTCATAGTATACAAATAAATAACCCTGGCGGAACAATGTTAGGCTATGCTGCATGTATCATCATCAGTAACCACCCCAACGTCATTAGACCACATAGATAAGTAACTCCTCCATACACACACACCACGGGAATAAAAATCCCTGGATCATATGCTGGGCCTGGGTAGACCATCCCTGAAATCACGGCCTTCCCTCATAGAGCTCATTGTTGCCAAAGACCAAGCACACCGTCGCTTCACGCCTGTTGCTGGTGGGCTGCCAGAAGATCCACCCGTGCTCCGCGCCAACATTAGTCTTCCAAGCTCCACCCAACACCGCATACACCACCACAACCACCACCACCACCACTCCAACGGAACTGCAGCTCCCCGCTCCCCTCCCAACTCCCCTACTCCGCGCCTCGCACCTCCCACAATGCCGCCAAAGGACTCGAAGAACCCGCGGCCTGGTGCCGACGAAGGACACCATGGTTCTATTTACTCCGTCTCCGGGCCTGTCGTGGTTGCGGAGAACATGATCGGGTGCGCCATGTACGAACTGGTGAGTACCAACTATACATGTGCATTGTCCAAAGAAAATATACCGCCTAGAGTTATTTTCTAACCTCAGTATAAATATGCTAGTGTCGGGTGGGCTATGACCAGCTCGTTGGAGAAGTCATTCGAATCGACGCAGATAAAGCTACAATTCAAGTCTACGAGGAAACAGGTGAATGATGGCACCGAAACTCCCCACCAAACTCCACCTCTCAGACTCAAAACTAACTCGTTTCCTCCAACATTCCAGCCGGAGTAACCGTCGGCGATCCAGTCGTCAGAACAGGGAAACCATTGTCCGTAGAACTCGGCCCGGGATTGATGGAGACGATCTATGACGGCATCCAACGACCTCTCAAAGCCATTTCAGACGCCTCCCAAAGTATCTACATCCCCCGCGGCATCTCCATCCCAGCCCTCGACCGGAAGAAGAAATGGGACTTCAAACCAACCAACTTCAAAGTCGGGGACCACATTACCGGCGGCGATATCTGGGGTAGCGTGTGGGAGAATAGCTTGCTGAACGACCATAAGATCCTGCTACCCCCTCGCGCACGAGGGACCATCACCCGCATTGCCGGCCCGGGCAGCTATACCGTTGACGAGAAGCTCCTGGAGGTTGAGTTTGATGGCAAGAAGCAGGAGTTTGGCATGGCCCATGAGTGGCCAGTCCGTGTTCCCCGTCCGGTAAACGAGAAGCTGGCTTCCGATACCCCCTTCATTGTTGGCCAGCGCGTCCTCGATGCCCTTTTCCCTAGTGTTCAAGGTGGAACGGTGTGTATCCCCGGTGCGTTTGGCTGCGGGAAGACTGTTATCAGTCAGAGTGTCTCCAAATTCTCGAACAGTGACATCATTGTGTATGTTGGTTGCGGTGAACGTGGAAATGAGATGGCTGAAGTCTTGATGGATTTCCCAGAGGTAGGTTACTTACCCACATACCCATTTTTGGGCTCGGAACTAACTGGCAGCCCAGCTTTCAATAAACATCGACGGCCGTAAAGAGCCCATCATGAAACGCACGTGTCTGATTGCGAACACCTCCAATATGCCTGTCGCTGCCCGTGAGGCTTCCATCTACACCGGCATTACGGTTGCAGAATATTTCCGTGACCAGGGTAAAAACGTCGCAATGATGGCAGACTCCAGCTCGCGCTGGGCTGAGGCGCTCCGTGAAATCTCAGGACGATTGGGTGAGATGCCGGCTGACCAAGGCTTCCCTGCTTACCTTGGAGCCAAGCTTGCCTCATTCTACGAACGTGCCGGACTGAGTATCGCGCTTGGTAGCCCCGAGCGGAAAGGAAGTGTCAGTATTGTCGGCGCTGTCAGTCCCCCTGGTGGTGATTTCTCCGACCCGGTCACCTCCAGCACCCTTGGCATCGTCCAAGTCTTCTGGGGTCTTGATAAGAAGCTCGCGCAGCGAAAGCACTTCCCATCCATCAACACTTCCGTTTCATACAGCAAGTACACCAACGTGCTCGATAAATTCTACGCGAAGGACCATCCGGAATTCCCACGGCTCCGAGACAGAATCAAAGAACTACTCACCAACTCCGAAGACCTGGACCAGGTCGTGCAGCTCGTTGGTAAATCCGCACTCGGCGACCCAGACAAGATCACGCTGGACGTCGCCGCGCTGCTCAAGGATGACTTCTTACAACAGAACGGCTACAGCGATTACGACCAGTTCTGCCCGCTGTGGAAGACCGAGTATATGATGAAGGCGTTCATGGGATATCATGATGAGAGTCAGAAAGCCATTGCACAGGGTCAGAGCTGGGCCAAGGTTCGCGAGGCGACGGTGGAGATCCAGAATGCGTTGCGGGGGATGAAGTTTGAGTTGCCTGAGGATGAAGAGGCTGTCACCCAAAAGGTATGGTTGGACCGTGGCTTTTTCCCCCACTCTTACCCCCCGATATTACATTATTGCACATATCTAACGTTTCTTGAAAATTACAGTACGAAAAAATCCTGCAGGACATGTCTGAGAAGTTCGCGTCGGTATCTGATGTGTAGAGATATTCGGTGGTTTTAAATGTTTTATGACTGTTTACAACCATAGCTTCCTTCCCTCCTTTACATTATTTCCCTTTTGGCTTGTCTTTTTGTAAGAGTTGCACGCGCGTGTCCCTCATTTATTTAAGTTCTTTATATTTGTGTTTTCGCTGGTATGAAGGGCTTCCAAAGGGGGAGTGCCCACGGCGATACCCTCCTCAGGCTGCTATGCATTTACGTAGTCTCCAGCTTTCGTCTGTTCCTTTATTTGATTGATTGTGCTGGATGATCTAATAGATGGAAAAGTGTTTGTTGATGAGGTATACGGCTTCCAATTTTTTTCTTTAAATTTTTTTGTTAATTTCTTAAGCTTTGTTCCTTCATGTACTCCGTAAGGAGGGATGGATGGGGTTTCCGACGTGGGCTCGCCGGCGGTTTTGTATAACTGCTTGTATTAATACTTTTGGGAACAGTCTGACGAAAGAAACAGAGTATTCCGTGCTTTCTGTCCATTTCCTGGGTGAAAGCCTTCATTTCAGTTCAAAAATAGAGGTTCATTCAAATGGTTGCCTGTCACCGGCGCAATACAGAGCTTGGGATGTCAGCAATCCAACAGAATCTAGAGTATGTATCACGCTTGCATTCCCCATACACTTTTGCAGAAGCCGAGAATTTTGCAAAAAACGACCTCTCAAAACAGAATTAAAGAAAACAGTACCCCTTTCTCAAGGTCAGTATGGGGCAAGTGGGCAAGCGGGCATTTTGTGGCCGCCTCTTCTACAAAGGATATTTCCGCTCCAGCAACCATCGAGGAATATTCCGTGCATGCATCTTTCGGTTTACTCCGATGTCCTGATGGACAGCGAATTTTCTTTCCTGTAACTCTTCTTCCAACACTTTATCCATATAGTACGCGTGGTATCCAGCAAACCCCTTTTCAAAGAGAGCGCTGAGCCACACATGGTAAGACAAAAGGTTGGGAGATTGGCACCAGAATTCATGGGCTGTCCAGAATAACAATGATGTTGCAGGCTGTGATCTTATCGTTGTCGTTGAAAGAATGCAGATGCCTAATTGTTGTTTTGGTGGTGGTTAATAAAAAAGAAAAAAAAAAAAAAAAAGTGCGCGAATATATATATGCTTAGTCATCCGCTAGTAGAAGGACCAGCGAACCATCATAATCATCATGCGAGTTCATCATCCATTTCTCCATCTTCATGCCCAAACAGCTCCACACAGAAACAAAGCATTCCCTCCGTACGATAGCTGTCTTCCGCCCTACTATTCCCATACATCCCCTAGCACTGAGCTATCTTGGATGCGCCTTTCACTCGACATGTCAGCGACCCCGTCTGGTTACTCGTGGGTTCCCCCATATTGATTGTTTCCTACTCTCTTATTGTCGGCGCCTTGCTGGCCCGTACATAGATCGCTAACATTGAACGGGTGTTTTTGTTCCACCACCAAATAGCATAAACGTCAATGACCCCAGTCTTATTTCGCTGGTAAATAAGCTGCAGGATGTCTTCACGACCGTTGGAGTATGTTATCTTGCTCTAACTGCGCACCTCTTGGGGCGACACATGGGATACTGATACCGATACTGATACTGCTCCCATTTAGGTACAAAATCCCATTGATCTGCCACAAATAGTGGTTGTTGGTTCGCAGTCGAGTGGAAAAAGTTCCGTATTGGAGAATATCGTTGGAAGAGATTTGTGAGTGGCACCATTTCCAATGGTATTGCACCCGGAGAAGCCCAAACTGACCGGAGACCAACTTCGTCTTCCTCTTTTTCCTTGGTGAAAATTAGTCTCCCTAGAGGTTCTGGAATTGTCACTCGACGGCCACTTGTTCTGCAACTTATCAACAGACCAGCCTCGAAAGCACAGACGAATGGTGTTAAGGATGACAAGCTCGATACCACCGATAAGGAGGCCAACGTGGACGAGTATGGCGAATTCCTACATATCCCTGGCCAGAAATTTTACGATTTCAACAAGATCAGAGATGAGATTGTACGCGAGACGGAACAGAAGACTGGACGCAATGCGGGCATTTCGCCAGCTCCGATTAACCTGAGAATATACTCCCCTAATGTCCTGACACTTACTCTCGTCGACCTGCCGGGTTTAACCAAAGTCCCCGTCGGAGATCAACCCAAGGATATCGAGAAGCAAATAAGAGATATGGTGTTGAAGCAGATCAGCAAGCCAAATGCTATCATCCTCGCCGTCACCGCAGCGAACCAAGATCTTGCGAACTCCGACGGCCTCAAACTTGCCCGAGAGGTCGACCCGGAGGGACAACGTACCATTGGTGTGCTTACAAAGGTAGACCTTATGGATGCGGGCACGGATGTAGTAGATATTCTTGCTGGCAGAATTATTCCATTGCGCCTTGGCTATGTGCCCGTCGTCAATCGTGGACAACGGGATATTGAGAATAAAAGACCTATTTCCTATGCGTTGGAGCACGAGAAGAATTTCTTTGAGAACCACAAGGCTTATCGGAATAAGTCGACTTACTGTGGAACACCATATCTGGCAAGGAAGTTGAATTTGGTATGCTCGGATTGAAAGAATGATTATATACCCCCCGTCTCTATATAAGCTAACAATCAGTTGTTCTAGATCCTCATGATGCACATTAAACAAACCCTTCCCGATATCAAAGCCCGTATCGCAGCCTCTCTCCAGAAATACACTGCAGAACTCCATCAGCTTGGCGACTCCATGCTCGGAAACAGCTCAAACATAGTGCTTAACATAATCACAGAGTTCAGCAATGAATATCGGACAGTGCTAGATGGTAACAACCAGGAACTATCTAGCGTTGAACTCTCCGGCGGTGCGCGTATTAGCTTTGTTTTCCATGAACTCTATTCCAACGGTGTCAAGGCAGTCGATCCATTTGACCAAGTCAAGGATATCGATATTCGGACAATCCTATACAACTCGTCAGGTTCCTCGCCAGCGCTCTTCGTCGGGACAACCGCTTTTGAGCTTATTGTGAAGCAGCAAATCAAGCGGCTCGAAGATCCCAGTCTAAAATGCGTCTCTCTAGTCTACGACGAGCTAGTGCGGATCCTGAGCCAGCTCCTCAACAAGCAACCGTTCCGGAGATACCCACAACTGAAAGAGAAATTCCATAGCGTTGTCATTTCGTTCTTCAAGCAGGCGATGGACCCCACGAATAAGCTAGTTAAGGATCTTGTGGCGATGGAGTCGTGTTATATCAATACAGGCCACCCGGATTTCTTAAATGGGCATAGGGTAAATAACATATATCTCTTTTTCTCCACCTTCCTTACCCTGTCTTCTCTTATACTTACCATCCTTTCACATTAGGCAATGGCAATTGTCAACGAACGAAACGCCGCCAGTAGACCAACACAGGTTGACCCCAAGACTGGAAAACCTCTGCCTGCATCCGTAGTGCCACCACGAGCGGCAAGCCCATCTCTGGACTCCATGTCGGACACCAACAGCGGCTTCTTCGGCAGCTTTTTCGCATCAAAAAATAAGAAGAAGATGGCTGCAATGGAGCCGCCCCCACCTACACTCAAGGCCTCGGGGACATTGTCTGAGCGCGAGAATTCTGAGGTTGAGGTTATTAGTATGTTTTCCTTCCCTCCTCCTAATCCAAGCAAATTAAATATATCCCATGATTGTATGTACGTATTGTAGGTATACTAACCGTCGACACCGCCAGAACTCCTAATAAGCTCCTATTATAATATCGTCAAGAGAACTATGATCGACATGGTACCCAAGGCCGTCATGCTTAACCTCGTTCAGTACGTTTTCTTCTTCTTCTTTCTTTCTTTCATTCTTTCCCTCGACAACTCCCCCACTAAGCTTTGATTTCTCGTTTCTCGATTTTTCCTATCCATTTTCTCCTCCTTATATATATACTCACCCGCTTTTCTAGACATACCAAAGATGAAATGCAACGCGAACTCCTCGCCCAGATGTACCGGGCCGATGAGCTGGATGATCTCCTCCGTGAAAGCGAGTACACCATCCGCCGGAGAAAGGAGTGTCAGCAAATGGTGGAAAGTTTGACAAGGGCTAGTGAGATTGTCAGTCAGGTTCAGTAGAGGATAGTAGGTAGGCGTGCGGGAAGGAAGGGATGATTTCTGGTTTTTTGCTCTGCTTTGTTGATTGATACGTAGGTAGCTGTTTAGAGATTTTATGTATAGGTTCTATTTCGTTACATCATCTTTGATTGGGTTGTGTTATATTTTTACGTTGTGTTTCTTCTTATTTTTTTTTATTTTTTTTTTATTTTTATTTTTTTTTTTTTTTTTTTGCCCCCCTGTCCAAGCCTGCCATTTGTTTGCCCTTGTTCCTATCCTAGAACATTCCCTGTTGTTTTTCTTTTATTTAGATAGCCCACTTGTTGTCTGTTGTTTTTTTATTTCAATTTCATTTTCTTCTTTTCGGTTTGAGCTTTCTGTACTTCTGTCATCCTTTCCTGGTATTCATAACTTGTTGCTAATCCTTCCCACACTCTTTTCAAGACAAGTTTTTAATCTTCATCTCACAACTTATAAGAGAAATGCTGCCATTCACACTAGAAATTCATAAATTGTAACACGGAAACTGTGAAATGGGCTTTCTTATAGTAAGTGAACATCAGATGAAAGCCTTTAAACCCACTGAATCAACTAGAAACACACTCATATATTGTTAAGAGTGTATATTTCATAATGAATGTGTTTAGTGAAACAAATCTTCAGATTATATCATCTGAGATTTGAGCAGTGAGCTAGAATCTATCTGACTCTGCGGAGCGACGCGCCGGAATTGGTCTGCGCAAGTATGACCTCCGACTCCCCAGACAAAACCAGGAAATTGCTGTGGTCATAGCCACCCATACGTGAAGCCAACCTCTGCCATCGCGCATTGGGATTTCCACACGTCGAAAAATTCATTCAAGTGGTGATATTGCAAACGTAATTTACACAAAGGGGCCGACACAATTACGAAATGACTGCTGAGGGGTACGGCTGTCGTTACTGGATACGCAGCGTAAGTGCGCCTGAGGTTGAATGCACTATGGCTGCTGACTGTTCTTTCGCAGATGGTACACATCCTTCTCGATCTTACCAAGGAGGAGTATATATATCCCGGCAACTACTTTGCGAGATATGTGGGCACCTCTCCATACTCGGTAACTACCATACGACGAAGCCACGCGCGTCCATGCACTGGGTACCAGGCAAATTCCTAGGTAACCTCCTACCTTAAGTGACAGTTGAAGAAGAATGTGTAGGGCTGATAAACGTACTGGAATGATATCATGTTAGACAATGTTCTTACGGACTTTCAATATTGATTCTACTAGTTTTTGAAATGAGTTCAAAATATTACAACGTCAACATTCTCTTAACTGGGCGGAGGTACGCAACTGTCCGGGGTAAGATCACCATTAGTGCCAATCAGACTAACAAAGTCAATTTTATAGGGTAGCTGCTTGTGCTTTACCAGTGTCCCGTATTCTGCCCACACAACCCATACCTTAACCTTCTCCTGGCTGCACTCAGGTCCTTTGGTGGTCATCTCTCATAGGTGAGGTACGGAGCCTCAACATGGCGAGTCCGGAATGCCGCGCAGCGTGATGGCGTTGGCTATGAAATATCAAACTTGATGTTAAATGTCAGCATATCGGGGTTGACTAACGTACCAACCAACATGTATTTCTGTGATTGGACACCTTCCAGCAACCTGGTCTTATGGACCTTGCAAATGCAATGGTTGGGTGATCTCAGAGTGATCCATGACCTAGATGAGATGTAAAAGGTCTCCAGCTCCAGTACAATCGAACTTCAGTTCTTCGGAGATTTGCTGCCTCATGATTGGATCCCGCATTCGCTTTGCTTTGGCCAGAAAGAATTCCTTTCGACCGTGAGAACCTCTTGAGTACACGCTGGCAGCGTGAAACTTTCCACATCGTCCTTTGTTGAACTGGCCGATATATTTCGAGTTTATACCAGGCCAAGATGAACATTATGAGGGGATCTTGAAGCACATGAGTTTGTACCTTCCTAGTGAGTCCGTCATGTTCCATCTTTCGGAGAAGAGGTTTCTCTATTCTAAAACTCATAATGTTTCCATTCAGTTGGCTACCCTGGACAAAATCAGCCCCATCCTAGACGTCTTTGCTACTTGGCTGCGATTTGGCGAGATTTCTCCATGATGTCACGCCTGGGAATGTCAACACCAGGTCATCCCCATCGAGGGTGGGATTTGTGGATTGTCAGTACAACAATGGTAATTGTGGCTGGCCTCTTTGTCTGCGCTCGATTAATTGGCAGATACATACGGGGAGGATTTCAGATTGACGACTATATGATCATTGCTGCCTTGGTGGGTGATGTCTCTGTGTGCGTATTGTTTCTGGCTATATTTAACGGAATTTTAGATCAATTCTATCATGCTTTCAATCTCTGAAAACATGGGTGCGTTCCTTTCCCTTGTCCTCATATCTCTTAAAGCTTCCTCCCCAGGACTAACATGTCATAGCCGTGGCTCATGGGTACGGGAGGCATGCGTTTGATTTGACGAAGGAGGAAAAAATACTAGCTTTGAAGGTAAGGTTTCTACTTTTACGCATCCCACTTCACGCGGCTTTGGCACGACGCTAATTCTGGAAAAATAAATCGGATCGCAGTGGGCTTTTGCCGCCCAAGTGTTTTACAAAATCGTCATTACACTGGCTAAGATGTCCATACTATTCCTTTACATGCGCATATTCTATATCGAGCGGTATATGCGCTGGGCGTGTATTTCCCTCACCATCTTTATCGGAGTGCATGGAATCGCTTTTGTACTCACAACAATCTGGCAATGTGACCCCATGGCCGGCTTCTGGGACAAATCCATTCCTGGCTTTCACTGCGTGAACAACCACCAGTTCTGGTTGTCGTTTTCCGTTATCAACATCTCCACGGATGTGGTGATATTAGTTCTTCCCGTGCAAGCAGTCCTTCGCCTCAAACGCCGCTGTCGGGAAAAGTCCGGGCTAGTATTAGTTTTCTCATTGGGAGCATTGTGAGTGGTGCAATCTGGCGCCTCCGATTTTTGCTAAACGGATAAGGTCCTGATGCGTACATAATTTTCAGCATTTGCGTCACGAGCATCATCCGAGTTACCACTCTCGCTTCATCTTCCATATCAAAGGACGTGACCTGTAAGAATGCTAACTCATAATGATTTAACCACAACCCCTTTTTCTCCCATACCCTACCTCTAACCAAAGGACCCAGGGGCCGCCATTCCCGCCACAATCTGGAGCGTTATCGAATGTAACACGGGTATAATATGTGCCTGTCTCCCCATGATCCGCCAACCGCTCTCCATCATTTTCCCTTTTCTCACTGCCAGCTCCTCCAACAACGGCTCCGCAGCTCGTGACCTCCCGTTTCCTTCCCAGGGGGCGAATATGAAAGGCCTCAGTCACGCAACACACTCAACCCATTCAGCAAATTTCACGTCCAGCTGGATAGAGATAGATATGACAGACGACAACTTCCAAAACAAGCCGTCCCCGACCGACGAAGCCAACGGGAACGAGCAGGTCCCATCTAACAATAGCAAAGAAGAGATGATATCGGTAGATGTTCGGGAGGACCGAAATGGTAATGCTCAGCAGCCTGAGAGGCCTGGTTCTCAACGATGATATGTGACGAATAGCATATTTCTTTATTTCTAGGGCATTTGGTGTGCGGCTTTAGGGAGTTCTCATTTTTATTTGGGGGGGCAATTTGTCATTTTGCGTAACATATTTATACGCATATTTTGTGGTGGAATCCTGCAAGGGTTGTTTTTGCGACTGGATATGGCTTCCTTGCGCGCGATATGGGGAATTCGGTCTTCTCTCCGTCTTCAATATTAATCTAGCGTGGTATTTTAGAGGTCCCTGCTGGCACATGGGACTCTAGGACAGATCCCGAAGAAAACGAGCGAAATACTCAGCCCTTTCTTTTTCCGTTTCTTGGTGCAGCCGCTTTCGTCGCTCATCATTTTGTCTGTTTTCTCGCATTATACCGCCAGCTCAAGTCTTTGTGAGTATTCTGTGGCAGCTGTTTTCGTCGACGATATTTGCAGCATGTATGTTATGGGAGATATCCTTTCTTATATGCAAGATCATGTACGTCGGAAAAAGGATTACCTGATTGCGGGGTTTTAGGGGGCTCTCCTGCAGCCAGAAGGTCACCCGCAGATATGCAGCGGTATGTACTGTAGACACAATGTCTAGGGTGCAAGGTTAGAGTGATCTTCCTCACAATGGCCTGACCTGACCACCACTGCATTTCCAGTGCTACACAGCCTCCACTCTGATTGTTCTCATACCTACACATACATCAACACCTTCACTTCATGTGATTGGGTCAGAATGCAGAATATCATCTTGGTGCAGTGGACAGTCTGGGACAACAAGCAAGGTATCGCTGTACGTATATTCACATTAACAAAAACCCCAAGAAGAGCAGGGATGGAATCTGAAATAAGCTCTTTTGCGAATGCATATTTGGCCTCTGCGCGCCTGGTATCCACATCCCTCCTTTAATTTTCTTGAGAAGTAGATGTTACTTGGTGTTACCATCCAAGCAACTAACTTTACCTGTTGATTGAAGGAAACATTATGCAGACATTCATACACTACACATGGTAGAGATGCTTTGTTATGAATGTTTCAGCGGGGAAGCATTAAGCATCAAGTATGTTATCCTGCATTCAATCAATATCTACTGATCAATCCCTAGCTTAACTATATATTATAGCCTCCACTCCCCTCCCTCACACCCACGTTGGACGCGTCGTGCGACTTGTGCGGGTGTGACGCCCCTGAAGCACAAATGCACGTTGTCATTGCCATTCCCCGGCAAAATACGATATTTGGTCCTCGGGCCTCTTTGTGATGAACCATCATTCAAGTTTCGCGTTAACTTAAAAAAGGGGTGGCTATAAAATGCGCCTGGACACTAATGTATGTACCAACGCCACCAACTGTTGGTTGAAGTGAATAATAATAACTAACAAGTCGGCGACGGTTAAGATCATTTGATATAGCCCCCGTCGTCCATGTGGAATTCTTCAGTTAGTTAGTTAAACTTGGAATGAAAAAAAAAAACGGTTCAACCCCCAACAAGAGTGCTAGTTACTGCATATTAGTTACTGCATATTTTAACTGTTCAAAATGGAATTTTCTGGGACTTTAGTGTATAAAATAATAATGTATGTACATACATACATACATACATTGCCAAAAAAGAGTTGATTAAAAATGGATAAAGGATCGTCTGGTGTAAGCTCTTCCCAAATTGCTTGCTACATGGTCAATCCATGGACAGATGTATGTTTCTATATGTGTCATGTCATGGGATATGATCAGCTTCTTTTCTTTTCAGGCCCTGGAATCACAAGCACTATACGGAGTAGTTAGTTACATTATAACGAGTAGTTAAAAGAAAAACAAAAGGGAACTGGTTACTGTTAAGCCAACTTGCATAACAACTGTGACAACCATTAACCGGGCGGCGATCCAACCGTTAAAAAACCGTGGAACCTGAGCTGTCGAGGAAACACTGCCTAGTAAAGAATCATCAAAGACCAGGAACCTCCTGGACCAGCATTTAAAATCTCTCCTGTTTTCCTGCAAACAGTACTCCGTAGATATATAAATAATGATGATTCTCCCCGGTTTTCAACAGTCCTTGGCCCGGTTCAAATACTTGGTCTCAAAAAACGGATCATCCTTTCTCCCCCCAATCCTGCAAGAGGGAAAAACATAAAATAGAGAGCAAAGGAGCAAAGCCGGACAAATATTCCATATCCATTCCCCTCGCTCTTACTCCGACCCTATTCCATTCCTTCTTATCCAGAGATAGATTTTATAAAAAAAAATACGAACGATGAAAATTTCCATCGCTCTCCTCCTTGCGGCCGTTACCATCGTCATGGCTCTCGGGGACGGCGAACCATGCATTACCGAGGGCGCTCCCTGCGGTTACTACGACAAGTGTTGCCCGGGGCTTACGTGCCATGATTGGTATGAGGTAAGTGATATCAGCTCGCTGTTGTTTCGTTGTTTCTTCCCTTGATTATTTTTTGGAATGAAAATATAGATATATATAGAGAGAGAGAGAGCGAGATAGAGTTAAAGTCAAATCAAATCGCTAACAATCGTAAACTCTAACTACTACAGGAGGGGATCGGCAAGTGCGAGCGAGTAATTCTAAACAAACTCGAAGCAGATCGCGGCGGCGACAAGATGTGACAGTCAGGACGGGAGCTTCGTTTTTCCTCAAGTTAATGATCTTTGTCCATGCGCCCTTATTTGGGTTTTGATTTTTTGATTCTGTTACGCGCCCCTGTGGGGACTGATACACACACAATTGAGGGCCTCGAGATTGGGATTGGAATGGGAAATGAATGGGAAATGAATGGGAAATGAATGGGAAATGAATGGGAAATGAAAACACAAACATCCAACTTTAAGAAGCATGATGCGAATACACATTCTATGAAATTTGCAATGAGAGGGGGGCCACTGGGAGAACAGAAGGGCTCTGATTGTTCCAAAGGGAAAATGTATACCAGTCTTCTATAATTTTTAATTTCCAATGTATCTCTCGTGTTAACTTATTTCCTTTGTCTGCCTTCCGGCTAGTTTCTTATTAGAGGGGCAGAGAGGCATGAGATTTTGCGACCGGTAATCGCTATAGTGCATGCCTCGATATCCTAGGTAGCTGAACGCATATAATAATAAATGCGCCAGGTGTTTTACTATGAGGTGTTTTAGTGCAGTTTTGAGTAACACAGCAATACTTTCGCGCGACATACTATGCGTAACACATTTGCAGAAATCTCTATAAATGCTTTGTGTAGTAAGTGGTGGTTATAGGTTGAAGTCACGCCTTTTCTTAGAGTAGATCCCTTTTAGTAGAGTTGATTGTTTTCATATACCTGTATCATAATGATCTGTATATCGCCGGTGCTTGAAGATGAGAGAGACTTTACTTCCTTCTATTGCTTCTTCATTGACTCTTCAACTTCAGAACAGTGGAGCCGTGTCCCTCTTACGCGATTCATTTTTCTCGACTCAGATAAATTGACAAAAAGGAATCCTCTCCAGCTCTTTTCCTTCCTGGATACTTACATGCTGCTGTATGAATGAAATCCCCTGGTTTATAAAGTAGAAGCCTATACTCATGGATCACAGTCAATTTACGGCCCGTCCAGAGCCCTTTGCTGAAATGATATAGCGTCCTATCAGGATCAGAAATCGGGGCATGAGTTTGAAGAATAATTCCTCTAACAGAGGAGACACCTCATTTATCGACATAGTGGTTGAAGATAGCACCTCATGTTCCCTGTCAATATGCTGCTCATTCTGTCCTGAAAAGGACTTCCCCCCCCCCCGAAATTGTCAAGATCGCCTCAAGCTAACATGGCCAGACACTGATCTTCCATTAGCTTAAAAAAGTTCCCCTGCAGAGATGGCATTTGCCCAACAAACAACCTCCAATCAAAAGGTTGAGAATTCCCCGAAATCACCACTCCCAGGACTCCACTCCGAACCTGCTAATAATAGCCTGAGATAGCCCACAGAATTCTCGCCCGCCCTGAGATGCCGTCATTCAAGTGTCATCGTCATCTGTTCCAAGTCTCGCCCTGGAGATTCGCCTGGATGAGCGACCAGCTGTATCTTTAGCTACTGAATCCCCCCGACCACCTCCTTAGGGGGCTCTGGTTGTTGAAACTGCTTGTGCACTGTGGAAGAAAAAGCTGGACCAGACGGTTGATATTGTGAAAACCTGCGTGCAACGAGGGCAAGCGATTGTCTCTCAGGATCACAAATTACACGAGAAAGACGGTGTGCTCGCAAAGAGTAAAGACGTCTAAAGATGAATAAAGCGTTGGAGGAGTAAACAGTGGCCTCCTAAGCACAGTACCAAAGCATTATCCATACGGAAAGCAGGCTCGTTATGGCACCTCGCCACATCGCGGCTGAGCCGCCAGGGAGTGTAAATCTTATTGCCACGGTAAAACTTATCGTTCCGCCACATCCCTTCCTTGCTATGGTAGAGATGATTAATGAGGCTTGGCAGATTGAAGCATGTGGCCACTCACTTCCGCTCTTCCAGCCACCAGCCACCAGCTGCCAACGTCCAGTCTCAACTTCCCTCGATTCCTCGTTCTCTCTCCATCCTCTTGGCAACTCTCCGTATACTCAGCATCAATTCTTCTCTATCAACCTACTAGCAATTAACAATTGCCTGAGGGGCCTCTTGCGTTCACGATACACTTCCGTAATGTCTTTTTTTCCATGCGCTCGAGTTGACGTGCTTGCTGGCTTGGGCACGAAGGTCTCCATTACGACGCCTGTGGGATAGTATACAACTGCATTCTGTGATCTGCTAACTGCTATCTCCAGTTAGCTGATCTGCGGATACGACTTTTTGGTTTGTCTGGCCCTTTTCCGTGGGAGCCTGTTTCCAGATCGCGGATTATAGCTACTGTCTCCCCAGCAGAGTTTGTTGCTTTACGTGAATCCCAGCAGTCCGGCTCTCCCCGTGATTCCATCTTCAAAGCACCATGACGTTCCGTTCTGGTCTTGCAAAGGTGAGGCGGGCTTATTGGAGCTTGCTTGAGGGCTTCATGGATGCCATCCAGGTTCTGGACTCAATCAGGAGCCGAATACCCGTGATTTCCAGTATCCGAATTAATTTTTTGTCCCTCCATTACGCCTACATTATCGTCTGTGCCCTCGCTTGCTCCATCGTCATCTATCCGAATGGGAACATGAGATATATCGATGCGCTGCTGTTCGGTACAGGTTCTGCCACCCAGAGTGGTCTCAACCCCATCGACCTCAATCTCCTGTTCACCTACCAACAGGTCGGGTTATGGTTCGTTTCCATGATCACCAATCCCATCGTCATTCATTCATTCGTTGTTTTTATGCGGCTCTTTTGGTTCGAAAGGCGCTTTCAACATGTCGTTCGTGAGGCCAAAACCCTGCGACGTATTAAGACAAGGCAAAGGACTATGACTCGTGACGCTTGGGGCCGGGAAGGAGTGGAGACTGGACCCAATCAAGATCGAGAAGGGGTGGGGGTGCGCGGAAAGCGGATAGTCCTTGTAAGAGATAGTGACACTGGACAAGCTCAGGGTGGTTCGGCGGTTCCTGATGTTATGAAGAAGTCAGACCCGGAATCCACCTCTGACAGTGACAAGTCACCCAAATCGACAACTGGTGGCAGATCCAGCTCTCAGATGGAGGATCAAACTGAGAGAGAAGAGCGAGGTGAACTGGCTAATACGAGTGAATCTCCTGTTGCGGATGACAATGATAGGAGTGTAGAGTTCAGAACACCTCAATATTTGAGCCCGGAGCATCATATTGCGTTCCTAGAACACCAGCGGAGACAGACAGGGGCATTGCGTATTCCAAGCCCGCGAGAGTATGACAGAGGCAGGGTCCCACAAACGGTGGACAATACAGATGGCGGAGATTTGACCCGAGCACAGACATTGCAATCGGAGCGGCCTCTTCAATCATCTCCTTTTTCGCCTTTTACTCCACCTTCCCGAGGACGCCGTATCACCATTGATGAGCCTAATGCTGTCCGGATGCGTTCGCGGACCAGAACGTTTCCTCGAACTAATTCTCGTCGTGGGCGAAGCCAAGGGGCCAGCGAACCGGATACAGATTATGCCCCATCAGAGAGAACGAGAAAGGGAACGTTGTCGAGCCTTTTTCGGTCTACATCAGCGCAAGGAGCCGACGTTGATTCTAGCCCCTATCTTAGTTGGCAACCGACAATTGGCCGGAATTCTGCGTTCGTGGACCTTACCGAGGAGCAAAGGAATGAGCTAGGGGGAATTGAATACAGGGCCCTGAAAGCTCTAGCGGTAGTGCTGATTTGTTATTTCTTCCTCTTCCATCTATTAGGCATTATATGCTTGGTACCATGGATTCTGAAAACAGAAAGATTCGGTAATGTTGTTAGAGCTGCAGGGGTAGGCCGGCCGTGGTGGGCCATTTTCACCTCTGGCTCCAGTTTCAACGACCAAGGATTCGCACTCACCCCAAACTCGATGATACCGTTCTATGATGCAGTGTTTCCTCTTCTTTTACTGACCTTCCTTATTATCATCGGAAATACTGGATTTCCTTGCATGCTGCGATTTATAATCTGGGTGCTTTCCCTCCTTGTTCCCACTGGCAGCCCTGCTTGGGAAGAACTGCGGTTTTTATTAGACCATCCGAGAAGATGCTTCACGCTTTTGTTTCCCCGGGCAGCTACGTGGTGGCTATTCGGAGTGCTTGTGATCCTTAATGGGGTAGATGTGATATTTTTTATTATCTTAGATGTAGGTCCTCTCGTGCATGAGTCCTGCCTGCCTTCTTGGCTTTCTACTTGCTAACTTAACTCTATCAGTTGAGTGACCCGGATATCACCAGGATTCCTGGTGGAATACGCTTTGTAGATGGTTTATTCCAAGCGGCCGCGACGCGGACCGCTGGTTTAGCGGTTGTCAATCTGTCCGAAATCCATCCTGCGGTTCAAGTTTCCTACATGATTATGATGTATATTTCCGTGTTCCCTATTGCCATTTCGGTCCGTCGGACAAATGTTTACGAGGAAGGCAGTCTGGGGATATATTCCTATCCTGATGAAGATGAAGAAGATGAAACGTTGGGGTCGAAGAAAATCAACTATGTGGGGGCCCATCTTCGAAGACAGCTCAGCTTCGACCTGTGGTACATCTTCCTTGGATTGTTCATCATTGCCATTGTCGAAGGCAATAGGCTGGACGACACGGGCGAGAACGGTTTCACCCTGTTCGCCGTCATGTTTGAGATCATCTCAGCCTACGGAACGGTGGGTCTGTCGCTTGGTTTCCCAAACACCAACACCTCTCTCTGCGCACAGTTCAAGCCCTTATCGAAACTCATTATTATCGCCATGGAGATTCGCGGCCGCCATCGTGGCTTGCCTTACGAACTCGACCGTGCTATCATGTTACCGTCTGAATCCCTCAACCGGAAGGAACTCCTGGACGCCAACAAACGGGTGAGGCGTAGTGGATCCGCGGCCAGCACGTTGTCAGGGGTTATTGGGCAGCAGCCACTACCAAACCCGCTACAGCAGGAGTCTGGATCTTCAAGTGCATATCAGCGAGACGGGCCTGCTAGCCCACGGTCGTTAGAGCTAACGAATCGACCCACCGGAGCGGCAAGTAATAGGCCTCCTTTAGAGACACATCATGAGGATGTTTAGCTCTGGTAATTAGCAGTGTAGGTGTTTTCTCCAGTCTTCAGGAGAGTAACCCTAATCATTTATCATCAGCACTTGATGAGACTCCATAGGTATTTCATAACTGCATTTTTTTCTTCTTGTTTGTTTGTTTTCGGCGATTTAGCGAGCGATCATTGTACGGTACTGTATTTCCCTTCTAATTGGCACTTGTAGTGTATTCGGTTTTGGGAGGTTTGTGTCTCTTTCCTTTCCGGTAGCGAACACTTATTGTGTCGTGTTAATGGGATGTATGTATGTACATGTAATGTACAGACATAGTAGGGATGGATATGGGGAATCCTTCCCATATTATTTAATATATAACTACATTATTCCCAATCCCGAGTCAAATTAATCTTCAAATTCGGAGGAAGACATGGGGAACAACGTTCCTTGTTCTCAAAATACCCCCTTCTGCCTCAAGGAGCACTCTCGCTGCTCCAAGCGATTGGAAGGTGGATTAACTTACCTTATTTATTATTCAATTCAATCATCTTCCAGGCATTCGGCATGGCAATCAAAAACTAAGTTAACAGATTAAGTTACGTACGAGAGAAAAGGCCAAGAAATCAAGAAACAACTGATTTCGGAGATAAGAAATAAGAAATTCCCACTTCCCTCACAAGCCCAAAGCCAGCGAGCGGCATTAACTACGGGCTGGAGTTAACTTAAAAACAATACGATCCCCGCAGAACTTCCAAGTCCGTAGAACGTAGTTAAGTAGCGTGCATGACTTCAAACTCCGAAAATAATTTTTCATATGTTCGGTTCGATGGTCGCCTTGAGGTCTTGGAAATGATGCAAGCGGCTTGATGGCTCATGAAAGTCTACTCCGTATTCTTTTTGTCTGCAGGATTGCTCAATAAAACAGGAAACCCCGAGAGCGATTTCGGCACAGAGGGTTTCAATTAATTATGATGTTGACATTCATTGCATTCGATTCGATCAAGAATAATGAATGACTATCAGATATCTTGAACCATCGGAACGAAGAAACTAATCGTCGTTGCATTGAATCCCGCGGGCGATAAAAGTAGCCCCGATAAATGACATCGACAAGCGCAAAATAATGAATGCAGATCGAGTATTCGCTTCCTCCACGCTCGCCAGGGGACGCGCTGCGAGGCCGGGACCAGGGCGAATGATAAGCTTCTGGAGAAACTGGAAACTCCGTGGGGAAAGTTATTATTCCCACGGAACCTCTAGTTACAAGCGTGATGACAAATGGAGGGCTCTCGCGCCGAAGTTCCACGGCGATATTGGCTGGACATTGCACATAGATCCGATACGGACTTACTAATTATTATTGATATCGATGTGAAGAAACTTAGAAACCCAATTCAGGATAAATTTTTGTGTATATATAGCCGGGTCGAACATCTTCTTCTCACGATGGATATCAAGAAGAAAAGTAAAGAAATTATCAGCCAGCCCATACCAATACCCAATATACCTCCTCTCCTCTATCTAAAAAAGTTACTACCGCCTTCGAGCCTACAGAAGCCAAGAAAATGGCATCGCACGCTGAATTCGGACTCAAAACCACGGCCACAGAGGTTGCCAAAGTGTTTTCTGATCAGATTAAAGGATTGACCGGTACCTACCTACCTACCCGGCCCCCCCATAGGTCTTTAAACTGTCTTCACAGATTGCTAATGAATCTCCCTCAGTCCTCATAACCGGCGTCAACCCCAAAGGCCTCGGCGGCGCCCTCGTCAGGGCAATTGTAGAATACAGTCCAGCCCGCATAATCATAACTGGCAGATCACAAGAGAAACTCGATGAGATCTCCAGCGACCTGAACGCCAGGTTCCCAGCGGTACTGATCACATCAACCGCCGTGGACCTGTCCTCGCTCCTCTCAGTCCGCAAAGCCGCCGTGAAGATTAGCAAGGAGGTCGACGCCATCGACGTCATCCTCAACAACGCCGGCATCATGGCCGTCCCCGAGCGCGAGCTCAGCGAAAACGGCTTCGAACTCCACCTCGCCACGAACCACATCGGCCACTTCCTCCTCACCAACCTACTCATGGATAAGATTCGGCAGGCCGCCGCGCTGCGCCCGGGCTCCACGCGCATCATCAACGTGGCGTCCGACGCCTACCTGTTCACCCCCTTCCGGTTCCAGGACTACAATTTCAACGGCAAGCCCGTCGCGGCGGACGAGGTGGGTACCGAAGACTGGCTGAAGCGCTTTGGGTATCCGTTGGAGCCCATTGTGGGGTACGATTCGATGATTGCCTATGGACAGTCGAAGACGGCGAATTTGCTCTTTACGACGTATCTGGCGAAACACCTTGCAAGCGAGGGGATTGCTTCCTTCGCGCTGCATCCAGGAGGTATATACCCCTTTTAGAAACCGACTTTTCAAGATGGTACAGTACTAACGGTTCAGCAGTGATCCACACAGAGCTGGGACGATATATGTCCCCAGAAAACTTCGGTGCCCTGGCCGATGTCATTCCACACTGGAAAACCACGGACGGAGGAGCTGCGACATCAGTGGTTGCGGCGTTCGATCCTGCGCTAAAAGGTATGTACAGTACAGTACATTTCTCGTTTATTTTTATTTTTATTTTATTTTTATTTTATTTTTATTTAACCGCGCAAAAATGGCCAAAAACACCTAACTAAAAATAACACCTCAATATAGCTCATTCCGGCGGCTTTCTTATGGATTGTCAACTCATAACTCCAACACCGTATTCTACCGATATAGAGAAGGCGGAGAAGCTGTGGAAGCTGACGGAGAAGCTTGTGGGGCAGGAATTCGCCCTGTGAGAGATGGGGATGAGGAGTATGACATGACATGACTATACGGTACTCTATACAATGCGACATAGATGTAGATAGATATTTCTTTTCTTGGTGCGTGACGAGGGGAGCGGGCGTGGGATTTGGGTGATGAGGTAGTCAGTCCTATTCATCATCTCGGCATAGCATGGCAATTGTTTAGTTCCTTTCATTATAATATATAGTTATATCTATTTATGAAATCATGAAAATCTTATAATTAGAAGCGCACCCTGTCAAATGTGCTCTATCTCATTAAATCTATACGGCTTGTCATCATTGACATAATATAGTAGTTAACATCACACCGTGGGTCATGATACTCAATTTGTTTCCTCCCCACCCAAACCAACCCCCACCAGTCCACCGACGTCATAAACCTACAACGCCCGTTCCCTAACCAACATCCATTCAACCTCCCAACACACAAGACATATACTAGACAATAACAATTTTTTAAAAATGCAACAAACCGCCCTCATCACAGGCGCCACCGGTCTTCTCGGGCGCCAAGTCCTAAACGCCTTCCAGCGAGACAGTGCCAATTGGAAGGTTTTCGGCCAGGGTTTCTCCAGAGCGTCGGGAACGGCGGATTCGGGGGTGGAAATCGTCAAGGCGGATCTGTTGGACGAAGGGAACATTGTAGCGCTGCTGGAGCAGACGAAGTGGGTTTTTTCTTTTGTTTTCGTTTCGTTTGGTTTGGTGGCGGTTGGTCTTTGATATTTTGATAATTATGCTGATTGATTGCTGATGGGTATTCTAGACCCAATGTTGTTGTGCATTGTGAGTGATCACGGTTTCTATTTTATTTATTGAACACATAGTTACCCAATTGCAGAAAAGGCTTTGTCCCACACCTTTTCCCAATCTCACAATCTAGTATTCCACTTCCACTAACCATCCTCTGCAGGCGCCGCCAACCGCTTCCCAGATAAATGCGACCAAAACCCCGCCGCAGCCCGCAAGATAAACGTAGCCGCCACCCAATCCCTCGCACAGGCCACCTCCTCCCGCTCCATCCTGCTCATCTACATCTCGACCGACTACGTCTTCCCCGGACGCCCCGGCGAAGCTCCCTACGCAGCCTCCGCGCAAACCGACCCGCCAAACATCTACGGCGAGACAAAGCGCGATGGCGAGGTAGCCGTGCTGGAGCAGACGCGCGAGTCCCGGCTGGGCGTGGTGCTGCGAGTCCCCGTCCTGTACGGGCCGGCTCAGCAGGCTAGCGAGAGCGCGGTGAACGTGCTTGTGGACGCGGTGTGGAAGGCGCAGGATGCCGGGGCGGGGATTAAGATGGACGATTGGGCGATTCGATACCCGACGCACACGGCGGATGTGGGGAGGGTTTGTCGCGATATTGCTGTCAAGTATCTTGCTGGGGCGGGGGCGGTGGGGGCGGGAGCGCCCAGTAACGACGGCGAGCTGAAGTCCCTACCTAGGATTTTACAGTTCTCGTCCGAAGATAGGATGACCAAGTATCAAATCTGCCAGAAATTGGCGGAGATTTTGGGGCTGCCGTTGCCTGGTATGATTCCTGTGAGGGAAGGGCCGAAACCGGGCGAGGTGCAGAGGCCGTTTGATACGCACTTGTCAACGGAGGAGTTAAAACGAATTGGGATTGAGGTTGGAACGCAGTCGTTTGAGGCATGGTGGTAAGTTTTGTTACTGTATTTGCTTTTGGTTTACCTAATTTCAGCTTCCCTGTGAGGTTGGTCGCTGACCCGCATATCTAAATATTAGGAGGAAAGAACTGCATGCATTCCGCCACTAGGGGGGTTTATGATATCGTATTGAGCGGGTGAGATCTGAAGAATGAGGACAAGGTGGCGGGGCTGATTCTGATTATCTCGATTATTGTTCCCGCCGCCTGTGTCCTCTCCAGAGTCGATGGACAAGTAAATAGGAGGCGAGTTTGGGAAAAAAAAAAAAAAAAAAAAAAAAAAAAAATACATATGTAACTATATTGAGAAACGCAGAAAGTATTTGTTAACTATTTGTTAGTGATCAAACCCAGCTTCAATGCCAGTCATGATGATTGGCCTTGTGGGCAAGAGGAGGGCCATCTGCGATCAACAAGATATTAAATAAATTATTCAAGGTCAGCTTGTCAGGCGGGATCTAGATAAACTCGGAAAAATAAAAGCCATTAGCTTAATCCCCTGCATTCTGGCACGGTCTTGATAGCACTGGCTGGTCAGATGATATATGACCAGTTGTGACAAAGAGATTCCACAAATACAAATGAGACTGAGAGATACAAAAAACAGGATAGATACAGCAGTTTATAGTAACAAATGTGTCAAATGAGTAACATAATCAACCACTCAACGCCCGCTCAATCTTCATTTTTTCATCCATCTTTAAACACTTACAACATGCATCAGTGTAACATGGCGGAACCGAAGCGGTGGCTAGTCGGCGGTGTCACATAGGGGTAGTTGTTTGGGAAGCTGTATGAGTGGGCTTGACTATCTTGCTTGAATAGCGAGCTTGTAGACTACAGGGTTATCATAAGAATATCACAGATATAGTACTTAGTATACTAAGAAGATTGTATGAGACACACAGTAACTCTTGTATATATTTCAGTAGAAGAAAAATGAATCACTGACTTCTTTGATAAGAAGTCAGTATCTAGCTATTCTATATAGATAATGAGTAGATACTCTTCTTTCATTTCATAAGTAAGAATAGTCAGAGTGATATCTCAGCAGTATTTCACTATCAAGAAAGAGTAATCTACTGATCTTGTATAGAAGCAGAGTTCTTATATTTATTAATCAGATCTTTCTATAATATATCTGAATAATATTATAGAGTGATTAAAAATCAGTTTAAATAGAATAAAATCATTTATATAAAAGTAATAAGCTGTATAAAACTGTAACAGAGTCTTGATATAGTTAGAAGTATAATAATACTCTTCTCTTTAAAAGTATAGTCTCTATACTCTTAAGATTACTGAATTAGAAGTTATCTTTATTATATAGTAATAGTTATTAATTAATTAACAGTACATGTACTGTATATAATATAAAGAAATAGATGAGTTTTTCTACTAACTGTATAGATCTTTCTTTACTCATCTTCATTTAAATCAAATGTATAATAAGTGAGTTTCTTATATATTGATTTAAAATGTGAAAAATATAGTTAATAAGTGACTTACAGATCTCTCAAGTGATATATTTTAGAGATAAAGTTAACAGTAGTAGTAGAATTTTTTGAAAAGATCTCTCTCTGTGGCGGGCTGCGCCCGATCAATCATATAGACTATTCCGTTACACTCCACAGATTCCACGTACGCTCAGATCCTCGGCCATTCTCGATTGCAGATCCTCGGCCATTCTCGATTGCCGATCCTCGGCCGCCACCCCGATCAATCATATAGACTATTCCGTTACACTCCACAGATTCTACGTACGCTCCGATCCTCGGCCATTCTCGATCGCCACCCCGATCAATCATATAGACTATTCCGTTACACTCCACAGATTCAGCGTATGCTCCGATTCTCGGCCATTCTCGATCGCCGATCCTCGGCCGCTACGAACGCGCGTATATTCTTCCGCCCCGAAGCTCCACCGCGTACGCCACCACATATGTGTATAAATATCCACCTCAATCGCTGATTCTCGCACTTTCTCTTTCTTTCCTTCTCTAGCGTTTTTATCTTTGTTATATAAGACCTATCAATATTATACCGATCTAATCGGCGTAGGCCTCTTACACTCTCTCTATAACATATTTTTCTTTCTCTCTCTCTCAATTATAACAGTGAGTGTATGAGAGTATTATTCTTAAAGAATAATAAGAGACTTATTCTGATATTTTCTAGTAAATAAATATCTTTATGATACAGCTGCAGTCTCTGTGACTGTTAAGAAAGTCAGATTAAAGATAGAGATAATAATGTTAATAAGTTATAAAAGTACTGCTTTTATTATCACATCTTCTTCTACTTCTCTTATAATCATGATAATAGTTACTATATCTTATAGTAAGGTGTTATTTCTTTTATTAATTAGTTTATTTATATTCAGTTCTTTTTCTATCTCTTTTATTACTATTGTAATACTGCTTTCTCTCTCAGTCAGTATAATAGTATATAACTCTGTATAATCATTCAGAGAGAAATCTGAAAAGAGCTTAATTCTGAGAATAGTAATTCTGAAAACAGTAATTCTAAGAAGCTTAATCTGTAGTTTCTCTTCTATAGTATATTCAAGCTCTGCTTAGAATACTACTGAGTTAAGTCTGTAAAGTTCTACAGTTTCTTTATCTTCTCTCTGTAAGAAGACTCTGATATAGTCTCTGACTAATATTACTATTTATGTAAGAATAAGTACTTACAGGCAATTATTCAGATGTTTGCAGCTTGGCATGATATGTACTGTTAACTACTAGAAGTATTCACAGTAGAAAGATAAAATATAGAGATTAAATATATAATAGCATTCAAGCTGAGTTATGAATAGTATTCATGAACTTCAGTCTATATAATTATATATAGTCAAGAGCTGCTAGCTCTATTAATTATATAAGAGATAGAAATAGAGATAAAGAATCTATAAGAAGTGAGATTTCTTATATATTCTCTTCTCTCTAAGACTTTGTCTATGAAGTCTTTCACTGAGTAACTTCATAAAATCAGCTCAGTACTGCAGTAATACTTACTAAAAATTCTTTATATCTATAAAAAATCTCAGTGAGGAAAAATCTCTTATTACTATAAAGAGAAAAGAGTCTGTTACTCAGTTTCTTATTCTATAAGATTCTTTATAATCTATAGATTCTTCTCTGATTATTACACAGATTTATCTTGCATCTTTTATATAGAAGAGTTCTGATTAACTTTTAATTATTTTTATAAGATTCTTATATAACTATTACATAGATTCATCTTACAGATAAATCACTCTCTATGAAATTATTCTTATTAAAGAGAAGTATTTATAAGTTAATCTTTCACTTATTTTTATAAATTATTATTCTTTAATACTGTAGAATTGTAAGAAATTTTTCATTCTTTTATTAACTCTGTAGAATTATAGAATCAAGATATCTGTGATCTACAATCACTCTTTATAATTATATAGAAAGATTCAGATCTGTGATTCATAATTACTCTTATTTACTAGAGTGATCTGACTATTCTGTAGAATTATTCACAGTATAAATAAATCTCTCTCAACAACCGCTCCACCACGAACTCGCTCGATTTTTCGAATAAGAACCCGCCGATAGATCCATCGAAAAGCCCTCGATCATACGAGCATTCTGACCCCATCGCCGACCGCATACCCTGTGTGGTGGTGGAGTTATCCAGCCAAACGTGAACCGGACGTTGTTCGAAGCTCCTGTGTGGGAATATCCCCCGTTCTCCCCTACCACACCACAACCCCGGGCCAGAGTGCCATACAAATTGTAAGGTGAAGTGACCTAGCCATATGCACCAATCTTCTCGATTTTGGAAGATCCCCGACCTGTAGTTGTGGAGATATCCGAGGAGCGACCTCCGCGAAAACCCTGTCCATCTTTGATGTTCCAAAACACCAGCGCCAAGTCTCACCCTCGTACCGCCCTTCCCAATCTGGCCCATCCCCGGCAGAAAAATACAAAAAGATACCTCGGTGATAATATCAAGCACATAATCACTGGACTCTTCTGAAGTGCAATCTCCACAGTCCGTCGCCAGTGTATCTAGACTTCAACACCAAGTCTCACCCTTGTACTACCCCTCTCAATCTGGCCCATCCCCAGCAGAATGATACAAAAAGATACCTTGGCAACAGCATTCAATACATAATCAGTGAACAACAAGTCAACAGCATATCAACAACTATAAAATCAGTATACTTCAAGATCTGACTGAGCCTTTGATCCCTGTACAGTGAGATATATTAAATCTAGTTTTAATATCTCAATATTCAATAGATTCTGCAAGGAATTGAGAACAGCAATACTAGATTTCTATTGAATTTGAGAATTAACTCTATATTGATATAATCATTGACAAAGTCTTCTATTTTGAGATATAAATAACCAGTTTCTCTACATCCCGCTGGCAATATTTACATTATCATATAGAAACAGACTTATATTCTCTATAATATCAAGACTCTGAAGAGGGAAAGTCTTGATAGAGAATATACAGTAGTGTATATCTTAGCAGTTTCTATCTCATTCTTCTGCAGCAGTTAATGCAAAAAAAAAGATCTTAGAAATAGTTTTTTACTTCTCTTGAAAAAGTAAGGTGTTTTTCTCTGGGTTTTACACAATATTCTTTCAAAGAATTAAAAACAGAGTTATTTTCTGTCATAATTTCATATTCTTTTAAGTAAGAATTACTTTTTCAGTGGCTGAAGAGCTTTCATTAATACTTAATTCTTTTTTACACTCTTTATTAACTGATTTGAGTTGCACACTTGTTGTGTGAGGAGAATTGAATAATTTAGTGTAACGTGGCGGAACCGAAGCGGTGGCTAGTCGGCGGTGTCACGTAGGAGTAGTTGTTTGGGAAGCTGTATGAGTGGGCTTGACTATCTTGCTTGAATAGTGAGCTCATAGGCTACAAGGTTATTGCGAGGATATCACAGATATGGTACTTAGTATACTAAGAAGATTGTATGGGGCATGCAGTAACTCTCATATATATTCCAGTAGAAGGAAAACAAATCGCTGGCTCCTTTGATGAGGAGCCAGTATCTAGCTATTCTATATAGACAATGGGCGGATACCCTCCTCTCATTCCATGAGTGAGAATAGCCGGAGCGATACCTCAGCGGCGCCTCATTGCCAAGGAAGAGTAATCTGCTGACCTTGTATAGAAGCGGGGTTCTCATATCCATCAATCGGATCTTCCTATGATATATCTGAATGATGTCATAGAGTGGTTGGAAACCGGTTCGGACGGGATGAAATCATCCACATGGAAGTGATGAGCCGTGTGGAACCGCAACGGGGCCTTGGCGCGGCCGGGAGCGTGACAATGCCCTCCCCCTTAAGGGCATAGTCCCTATGCCCTCAAGATTACCGGATTAGGAATTATCTTTGTTGTATAGCAACGGTTGCCAACCAATTGGCAGTGCGTGTGCTGCGCGTGGTACAAAGGAATAGGTGAGTTGTTCTGCTGACTGCGTAGGTCTTCCTTTTCCCACCTTCATCCAAACCAAACGCGTGGTAAGTGGGTTCCTTATATATCAATTTGGGATGGGGAAAATGTAGTTAACAAGTGGCTTGCAGATCTCCCATCATATTCCATCCTACATATGGAATTCCCTGCAAAAGTGGTGTGTTTTAGGGGCAAAGCTGACAGTAGTGGCAGGAGTTTTCGAAAAGATCCCCCCCCCCGTGAAACATTTTTCTTCCCCCCCCCCCAATCACAACAGTGAGTGCATGGGAGTATCGTCCTTGGAGGACAATCAAGGGCTTATTCTGACGTTTTCTAGTGGGTAAACGTCTTCGTGGTGCGGCAGCGGCCTCTGTGGCCGCCAAGAAAGCCAGGTTGGAGGCGAAAGCGTGGGTCTCCGAGGTGGAAAAACACCTCAGGATGGCTGGCCCCAAGAAGGGGTCAGCCGGCGCCGCCGTTGGAAGCGCCGCGGAGACCAATCACTGGTTGGAGAGGATCTCGCTCCAATTGAAGCAGATGACTGAGGTGCTTTGCAAGTTGGTAAGTTGACATTTCATGCATTTCTCCTGCTCTCCTGCAGCGCCGCAGCGCTAACTTCTCAGCAGGCAAAGGTGCCGGTGCCGGAGACTTCAATGGTGGAGGATGAGTTTGGTGGGGGTGTGGTTGTTGATGAGTAGGCCCTGGTCCCCCTTTTTACTTTTTCAGCAGGCTGCGGCCCCATTAGAATAGCAGCAGCCTGCGGGTCGGTAATATTAATCTTTTTATTAATTTCAAATATCCCTTTTCTTTTAACCGCTTCAGAAATGTTACACTTGTATAGTCTCATTAAACTTCTAAAAACCCTTTGAGAGAAAATAGAAGAAGAGTGCTACAGAGCCTACAAGGCACTGGCTCATCACTGCAAGATCATCTCTAAAAAACCCTTTGAGAAAAATGAGAAGTCTCAAGCAGCATTTCTTGCTCAATATCTCTGATGTGTAACAGGGCAGTCTCTACTAGCTGTCTCATAGGTTGCAATCTCTTTCTCAGCATTTTTCAAATACTCAAGCAGTTCTTACAAATTCTCTGATGATGAATAATCTTCTCATTTAACAAGATATTGAAGCTTGCTGTAATGTGTTCACTTGTTCAATATTTTCTTCACAAGATATTCAGTATCACTCTTGATCTTAATATCATCTGACTGAGGTGACTCTGCCTCAGAGCATTGCTTATAGAGCTTTAAATAGAAAATGTGAAAAACAGGATGAATTAATTTCAATTCTGTGAGTAATTTCAACTCATATGCCTGCTTACTCATCACTCTTGTTATCAGAAAAGATTCTAGTCATCACTTACTAAGCTTCTTATATAATCTTATTATCTTGATATTCTTTGCTGAAAGTAGCACTTAATTCTCTATTAAGAACTTCATTGAAAGATGTTTTCAATTATAGTATTTCATCTGCTGCTTCTGAGCACAGTGAATACTTTTCATCATCTTCTCATGAATTTTGTTCAAAAGTTTCAATCTCACTTTTACTTCTGACACTGAGAAATACTCTGTTCTCTGTATCTGTCTGATATTCTGACTGTCTATTCTTCTCTTTGAAATGTTGTCCGCGATGTCACTGAATAATGAAGAATTATATTCATAATAAGTATAGAAAGAAGATATCTTTAAGATTGCATTCTTTGCATTATTATATATGAATTCAGCAGTCAGAAGATGTTTAAGTCAATCATTCTGATAATATGAACAGAATACTTAAAGATGCTGTTCTAGTATCTGATTCTGATATTCAGTCTGATTATCAGTCTGCAGATGAAAAGTAGTACTGAGAAGACATCTTATTATAAGATGATAGTAAAAAGCTGATCAGTACTTGCTAGTGAAGAGGGATTCTTGATCTGTTATTAACAATTTCAGAGCACTGTGATCATGAATGATGATATCTAAAAATAGATCAGTCAATTCAGAGGCTTTAACCTTTTTATGAGTAGAAATATATCTGATCATCTTCATGAAGCAGTCAATAATAATCAAAATTGAGTTATATTCTTTAACTCTTGTTGACTTTGGCAGGTCAACTATGAAATTCATTGATAGATTCTATCATGAGCTCTTTGAAACAGACAGTGATATTAACTCACTGTATTGCTTATACTGCAGAATCTTTATTCTTTGATAGATATTGTAAGTCTTAATATACTCTTTGATATCTGTCTGAAGCTTGTTCTAAGTGTATTTATATTTTAGAAGCTTCTCAGTCTTCTCTAATCTGAAGTACTCTGTATGAGAATTATTATGATGAATTCTCAATAACTTCTGACACACTGCTCTACTATAAGAGACAAAGACTGAATTATTCAGCAGTAGGAGTTCACATTCTTCTAGTTATCAGTGACTTGATTTCTTAACAGCATCACTCTGCTCAGAGTCTGTCTCTTTCAAGTTCAAATCAGACTCTTTCTTCTTCAACTTCTGAATTTAAGCTGCAGTAGAGACATTCCTCTTCTGTAACTTATCAATGAATTTCAAAAGTAGTCAGATTGAAAGATTGTAAACTGTTTTATTCTTTATTAATTCAATAGTTGTAAGACATGACATAAGAAGCTCATAATCTTCAGTGTCAGTTTCTCATAAGAATCTGAGTTCTCTTTCATCTTCTATACTGAGTTGCACAGCTATCTCTTCAGCACTGTTTCTGAGCTTTAGAGAATCTCAACTCTCTACAGCCAGCTTCTTCTGCAGTGATAACAGAGATTCTTTTGTAGAATTCTTCTCTGTATCAATGATATTATAATCAGACTGTCTAGACAGTGTATCAGTGAGGTTAAGCTGACCTGAATAGTATTGAATATAGAAATCATACTCTGAAAGCAGCTCTGCTCATCTGGCTTGACATTCTATCAAGCTCTTTGTTGTCAAGAAGTAATGCAGATTTGTATAATCAGTGAGAACTTACACTGAATACTTACTACTCTGAAGATAATGTTATCAGATCTTAAAGAATTTAATAATTACTAACATCTTCTGATTATAAGTATCATATCTTCTCTGTGTGAGTGATAACTTCTTGAAGAAGAAGGTCACTGATCTTTATTTACAGTGTCTTGTAGACTCTGTGAAAAAGTCTTCTCTTACAGACAATTCATTGTCTGTTTCTTCAGAGATAATTATTCTCTAATTCTTTCAATGTTGAAAGATCTTCAGTGTCAACTGTGAAAAGATTTCACAGATCTCATTTCTGAATATGTCAGTCTCACACTGACTGAATAAGTCAGAATTAAAGTGATTCAGTATTATGATATCTGTGAAAGCTTGTTTCAATTCTGTAAACACCTGCACAGTGTCTTGAGTGAGAGTAAATAGTTCTGTTTTTCTGTCTTTCACACTTCTCTTCAACAGATCTGTAAGAGGAGCAGTAATCTGTGAATATGTATAGATGAATTATCTGTAGAAATTCACAAATTCTAGAAACACCTGCATCTCATGATACATCCGCAGTGCTGGCCAGTTCTCAATGACAGAGACCTGGCTTCTGTTCATTGAAATGTCATTCATCTCAATAATATAATCTAAGAAATTAATCTTCTGCATGTAGAATGAGCATTTTTCAGTGTTTGTATAGAGTTAATACTGTCTCAAGTGACTCAACACTTCTTGAACATGGATATCATGTTCTTTCTCTGTTTTTGAGAAGATTAGAATGTTGTTCAAGTATACTATGCAGGAGATGTTGACAAGGCTCTGCAGCACCTCATTTATATAGGCCTGAAAGATGGCTGAAGTGTTACAGAGATCAAAAGATAAAACAAGATATTCAAAATTACTGTACTTAGTATGAAAGACTGTTTTTCAAATATTATCTTTATTAACTCTGATTCTATGATAGACATCTTATATATCAATCTTTGAGAACATCTTTGCTTCAGATAATCAATTGATCATCTTGTCAATCAACAGTAGTAAATAGCAATTCTTAATCATCATCTTATTGAGGCCTCTGTAGTCTACACATAGGTGTAGTCTATTATTCTTCTTAGATATAAAGAGTATAGATGTCTCTGCTGAACTCTTTGATAAACATATTCAGTTCTTTGATTGCACTTCTTCAAGATATTTATACAGAACATTCAACTTCTTTACAGACAAGTTGTAAAGAGATCTGTACAGTGCTGTTGCACTGTCTTCAAGATGAATCTTATATTGTATCTTGATATCAGGAAACTTTGCTGCTTTTCTTTTCAAAAAGACATTCTTAAAATCTGTAAAGAGACATTATGTACATTCACCTTCAATGATGAATACTGCTGCTAATCTTACAGTAAGAGTGATGACTTCTTCATCTGTTCTCAAGTCTCAATCACCTGCTACATAGTATATTGACTCAATCTTTTTCTCAAGATTCTTCTGATGAAACTCTTCAGGTTTCTCTATCACTATCTCTTCATCAGTGAGACAGTATCATCACACCTGAGTAACTCAGTCAATGAGAGAATTGTTTTCTCTCAATCATGAAAGACCTAGAATGACATTCTTATCTATGATGTTGACTGTGTGAAGAAGCAGACTGCTCTTCTTGAAGGTTTCTTCTAAGTCTGTGATCACACACTTTGCTTAAATTATGTCAAAACAGTGATATTTTATTTCATCTGTAAATTTCACATGATCTGACAGGTCTATCTTCTTTCAATTCTTCATCAAAGAAAAGAAATAGAATATGAAGTTAATATTCACTCTGAAGTTGAGTAGGCATCTCACTGATATCTTCTCATTCAGAGTATGTATTATAATTGTAATATGAACTTAGAGATATGAGAATTGTCAATTCTTTTCTTTCTCTTCTTTATCTTCTATGAATATGTTTATCAGAAGAGAAGTTGACTTTGAGAAGATGTCTTCTCAGTTTCTTCTCTTCTTCAGCTTCTTACAATTACTAATATAGTGATTATCAGCTCTGCAGTTGAAACAGAGATCTTTATCAAATCTTTTTTAATATTTCTTTGCAGTGAGTGAAGAATCAGAATACTTGAAATTCTTCTTTACTTTCTTCACACTGAAGTTATCATGATACTGTTTAGATTCTATTATTGATTGCTTAGAAGAGATCTTATTGATCTTTTTCTTGAAGAATTGATTATTCAAATAGATTCAGAAAGTCAGGTTAACAAGCTCAGTGTAATTGATTGATGAACTCTGATATTGTGATATTATTGTTCACACCTTGTGAGTCAGCTTCATGAGATAAAGCTGTGTTTTTAATTGATTCAAATTATCAGTCAGTTTCTCTCAATATTCTTCAAATCTTGTATTGAAATTGAAAGAATTTTCATCATCTCATTAATATAATAAGTTGAACTACTGTGCTGCTGTGAAGCTGTGATTGCAGTGATCTTTGATTTGATTCAGTAGAAAGTTCTTGAATTCTTTTCAAGTTATGATAGTATTGATACACTCAAGCTCTCTCTTCTTGATAACTCAAGTAGTTGCAGAGATGTCTTCAAGAAGGTTGACAGTGTATATTACTCATATCTTATGAGTATTATACTGACTTGAATTAAGGCAGAATTTCTGTTCAAGAATACAGATAAAGCTGTGAAATTCAGACAAGATGTTTCTCTTGTATCTTGATAAATCTCTGATCTTAATCTCTCTATCTTCATGATAGATGTAGGTGTGTAGAGGCTGCAG